GACACACGACAGACGGCACCATCCGGGAGGTATACAGGAAGGGCTGTGAAAGCTCACATTAAGAAACTTGCTTTTAACGGCAAGAATCCAGAGGGGGCTTCCTGGAAGAGGTGACATTTAACTTGGAGCCTGAGGAAGAGTAGGATTTGCGTGGGATTTTGGAAGCCTCCTGCCTTGGGTTTCTCTCTCCTGACACTGTTCACGAGTCATTCCAGCAGAGGGCAGGCTGAGCAAAGATGGGATGGGAAGTTCGTTGTTCGGCCAAGTTTCATGTTGGTCTCAGCACAGTCAGAACTGTCTGGACAGCTTTCTGGGCTTACTAAGAAGGGGAGTCCTCTCTGTGTGAATTCTGAAGTTATTTGCTCCAAGTCTGGGCTCCAGATTTACTCCTTTGTCTTTGCCTGGAATCGATATTGAGTTTGCGTTCGCCATGGTTCAGGGTGGTCTGATGCCTGGTGCCACCTCTCCTTGGGCACTAGCAATGCCCTGTTAGAGAGGCTGGGTCAGGCAGGTTTGGGCAGTCCAGGATGGGGGAGGGGAGAGGGCCGGCTTTTCTCCCCACCCCTCATTTTGTCCCTTCTCTCTAAAGAACTGTGAGCAGGCGTCAGACAGACAGCACCATCCGGGAGGTGTACAGGAAGGGCTGCAGAGCTCACATTAAGGAACTAGCTTTAGTGCTACCCCTGTCTCTCTGTCTCAGGTTAGATGACACAGATTCAGTCACAAGTGGTCTACAAGGAAATATTCCCATGACACTAAGTGGGTGGGGAAGGCAGAATAAGGAAATGCTTGATTCAAGTGCAGTCCCAGCCTTGGCCTGATCCTGCAGGGGGCGCTGAGTGTAACTGGTAGCACGGGATGGTCCCACCTGGGCAAGGACTGACTGTGTTTTCAGGCTCCTGCACCCATCAGTCACCCCGTCCATCACTGGCTCCGACTGCCCCAGAGGGACGTAAACTTGCAAGCACTTCCAGTTCTTGGTGTATCTGGGTGAAGTGGCTCTGGTGGTCCATGGTTTTTGTTTGTTTTTATGGATTTTAGAGAGAGACCAAGGGCCGCAGCCGCAAGGCACTGAATTCTCCCAACAACTTGAATGATCTGGGAAGAGAAGCCGGAGCCCTGTGAGAGGCCCTGAGCAGAGGACCCTGCTCGGCCCCAGAGACTGGACCCCGGAGACTGTGAGTTCATAAGTGTGTTGTTTAAGTCCCTAAGGTTGTAGTCATTTGTGACACAGCAATGCAAAACTAATACTTTAAACTTCTATGTAACTTCATAATTTTCTGTGCCTTCTTATATCTGTAACAGAGCTATAAAATACACCTTTCTGCAATGCTAGAAATGTTCCACTCTGCTGTCCGGTACACTGGCCACTAGCCATGCGTGGCTATGGAGCACTCGAAATGCAGCTGGTGAGACTAAGGAACTGAATTTTTACATTTAAGAAAGTTAAGTTTAAATAGCCCCATGTGGCTAGCGGGTAGCATATTTGACAAAACGATTCTATAATTTATTTTTATAATTTTTAAAAATCTGACCCCTGAAACTAACTGCCGGTAGATGTCCACTTTGCAAGGGTGTGACACTGTACGAACCGCGACAGGAGGCAATGAGGGACAGACTGACTGCTGTGGCCCTGAGGGCTCTTATCGCTAAAAGTGAACAACTGCCCTTAAGACAGTTTCAAGGATCAGCTAAGATGCTACATGCAAAAAGGCTGCTCTGAAGAAAGAAGCCAGGCCGCTTAGTCTCCTCCAGTTTGGGACAAACGGATTGAAGAGGAGCTGCTTTCTGGGGAACGTCAGTGCTTTCTGACCCGATGGTGCAGGCAGAGGAGAGGCTCTGGTCCCCCCCATCCCCCCCACCCCCGAGTCCCGAGGGTCTGTTCCTCGGGCTTTGCTTGATTCCAGCTCAGAGGCCCTGTGCTTCTCACTCTAAGGCGCCGGCAGATCCCTTTCTTTCTGGCTGTACTCGTCTGGCTGAGTACAGGAGGGTTCGGGCCTCTCCCCCAATGGAATCACACCCCTCGAAGGTCCTGGGGAGCTGGGCTGGGGTGGCGAGAGTCTCTTCCTGTGAGTGTGTGCAGGCTCTGAGGGTGAGAAGGCAGTAGGATACCGAGTGGAAAAGCATACTTAGTGTTATGAAATACTTTCATATTCGGATAGTGAGCACCGGTTAAAAGGCTTGCCTTTTCTGGAGGCTCTGGGAGGTAAATAAATGTAGTTGAAGGAGGAAAGGATTTTGGAGTTATATCTGCCACCTAATAGCTTGTGTGATCTTGGGAGAATTACTTAGCATCTCTGAGCCCATTTCTTCGTCTATAAAATAGGAATAACTGTACCTACAATACACTACTCCATAAAAGGTATGTTTTATTTGAGACTATGTATAGCACAACAGTATCCATATACCCCATCCAATTCCAATCCCTGGTGAGGCTGAGAGTAGGAGGTAGATGAGAGAGGAGCTGGAGGCAGGAGAGGGCATGCACGGTGGGGGGGTTAATATGAGAGGCACCAGGAGCCCTGGAGCCAGGGGAGCCCTGGAAGAGAATGAGGTTCCATGGTGTTCTCTCAGATATGACTCTTCTCTGCATACCTATCCTGAGCCAGGGGGGAGGGGATGGATGAGAAGGAACCAGTGGGCAGAATGAGGGTTGAAGATGTGGGCAGGGGCTGTGTTAGAGGAATAGTAAGTGGGAAGGATAGACCGGATGCAGGTAGATGATTAGCTTTAATCACCTCCCCCCAAAGCTGGAAAGAGAACTGTAGGGAGCCATTTCTCACGTGGACAACGGAAGGCTGCTGGGTCGGGGGGCAGAGCAGGGGTAGACAAGTCTCTCCCTCTGCAGGTGTTCATGTCCACCTTTCCTGGTTGGGACGCTGCCAGTGGGACGAACTCCAGTTCCAGGGATTTGATCCGCAAGGTCATAGTGTTGTCTGAGGGTGTGGCTTTCTCTACAGTAACATGATGCAGGTTCCCTCCAGTTGGATTTTTCCAATAACTCATTAAAGGCCCTCTGCTCAGCGAGACCCTGCTGCTGCCACCTCCATCAATCACTCAGTACACGCACACTGTGCCAGTCTACTCTGTCCTGGGCCAGGAAAAGCACCCGCTTGTGTCTTTTATGGAACCTTTTCTTACAACCTAGCTCCGTGTAACCTGGCACCCATGTAACCCAAAGACCAGTCCCAGAGCAGGGGACTCGAAGTGCGGGGCTCTCATCACCCTCTCGGCCTTGGAGCAGACCACAGCGTCCCCCTCGCTTTTTCTTCTCCAAACCGTGTGCTCCCTCCACTCGACTCAGACATCTGTTCCCCACTCACTCCTTCACCCCCCTCCCAGCTCCCCTCCCACCCCAGGCGGCCCCAGGCGATGTGGTCTGCACACCCTCCCGTCCCTGTCACCTGCAGCTTTCCTGGCAGGCGGCCCCTGCGCCCAGTGAGCATCTCCAGTGCTGGGCGCTCGCTGGCTTCCGGGGCAGCAAGTCCATGCTTGGACAGCGCTGGGCTCAGTTCCCAGCACAAGCCCCATCTGCTTCCTAAGAGGATACGTCGGTCCCAGTCATGTCCTCTGGAGCACGGTAAGCAAGTTCACTCTATTTACATGCAGCTTTTCTCTCAGATGGTGACGTCACAGTGAGGTTCACTCATGCGTCCCCCACACCCAGTCCCTTTCCTTTCGTCTCCCTCCTCTGCCCTTCCCTCCATCCCAGGGACCTGTGCGCCCACTTCAGTTTTCTCCTCTCCCAGTTCTTCCTCTCTGCCACCAGGTGAATGTCTCCCAACAGCAACAAGCACCCTCTCCCTATGGACAGTGGCTTGGACAGTGCTCACTACTTAACCTGGCATTTAAGGTCTTCTTTCTTCTGCCTCTACTGTTATATACAATTGCTTCCTCATACGGAGTCACTAGCTCAAGCAAACCAGTGACATCCACTGGCATCAGAACTTCCCACCAGGGCTCCGCCTCTGGGGTCCAGTCTCCAGCCTTTGTCCTCCCTCCTCCATCCTGTGTGGTCCTTGGAGGGCTGTCTATGGGGGCTCTGAAAGGATCGCCTCCAGCTGCAGAACCCAGTCCTCGGCGCTGGGCTTTGCAAACGCTGTCTGTTTTTGACGAGTCCAATTGTAGGTTCTCAGCAAACTGCTTTATTCCCCCACACCCTTTGTAGGTGGACGCTCCAACTCTGAGTTTTGAGAACAATGATGTGATAAACCCAGCTGCCAGGGCTCCGAGTCTCTTCCCCATTTTCTCCAAATGTTCCTCCTAACGGCATGTGTCAGGCTTGTTCTTCCTGCAGCCTGTGCAGACCACTCAGCGCACACCTGTGGTCTGACCAGTGTCGGTACCGGGAAACCGTGTTCCCCTGGGCCAAGGGATGCAGTGGGTTATGATGAAACAATGTGGCCGCTGGCAGTGACGTACTCAGGTTCCCAGATATGATTAGTGCTTGAGTTCTTTATTTCTTAACAATGAGTCCTCAAGTTCTTCGGAGAAAACTCCTCCAGGATTGCTCGGGAGTGGTCACTACCTCCCTTGGCCATTCATTTTTTAAAAATGGTGTCACCCTGGTTGGTGTGGGTCAGTTAGTCGGAGTGTTGTCCCACACACTAAAAGGTGACAGGTTCAATTCCTGGTCAGGGCACATACCTAGGTTGCAGGTTTGATCCCTAATCTTAACCCTAACCCCAAATTCCAGTGACAGCAAATTTTTAAAATCTGAATTTCTAAGCAGTGGAGAGTTCTTAAATATTAGCAATTCCTCTCATCAGCCTGGTGGCATCTCCAAAATGAGCTTTCTTTTCATACTGTCCTGTCCCCCCACCCAAACGTAAGTCTAAGAGATCCATGGCTCTGCCCCCAGGAGGCCCATGCCCCTCCCAAGGCACATTCCACAGACACCCCACATCTTTCCCTCACCCATTTCAGACTCTTCTTCACAAGTTCTGAAGTTGGTCAGCATTGACTCAGCCCCTTGGCCGACGCAAAGAACACCACAGGTGTGAGCAGTTTACACAGACTTTATTTTTCGCCCACTGAGCACAGGAAAGTCTGGGCAGGCCTAGGCATTGCATCACCTCCCCTGGTTCCCAGACTGTGAGACTTGGTGGTAAGGGAGAGGGGTCCTAGTCCTGCCACAGATTGCTATGGGGTTATCACAACGACATATGATTCCTGGTTCTATTTACACCATGGAGTGTAGAGAGGGTACATTTCTTACACTAAAAATATATACTTTGGAATCTCTAAAACAAAAATATCTCTATCTCTACATGAAACCTACTAGAAAGAAGAACATAGAAAACAGGGAAATGTACCAGCACCTCAAGTTGTCCCCTCCCATGGGAAGGTTGCTCTGCTCTCCACCCGACACCCTTAGTTTGGGAGGGCAGCCATATCTGACCATCAGACAGACAAATACAGGTAAACAAGAGGAAGGCTCGTCATCTTGGAAGAGTGAACAGGGGAGAAAGGAGTGAGGAGGAGGATTTTGGCCTCTTGCAAAAGGAGTAATTGCACATTCAGTTTGGTACTTCTGTTTCCAACATTATTGCATGTGTGAGAAACCTGTGTGTTGGCGTCAATTGCAAACCTGCTAAGAGAAGCCCTAGCTCTGCTGATTTCGGCTGGGCTCAGAACAGTGCCGTGGGTGGGTTCTCTCTCTCAGGAAATATTAATGCCATCAGCTAGAAGACAAAGCTCTGTATTCTCCAAAGCCGAAAGTGGGTTAGGTTAAAGAAGAGTGTTGTTCCTTTTCAGAAGGATTAGAAACCATTCCATTCCCTTTGAGCACAGAATCTCCTACAAGAATTACGCCTATAGATGAATCATTCCACCTTCTGGATTTTCCTAGATTTTCCTCCTGAAAAGATTCACAGAATTCTCCTTCCCTCTTTTCATGTTTCAAGCAGTGATTGGTTATGAAATAAGCCTCCTTTCTAGTAAAGAAATGTTAACTGAGTCAACTATCCATTGATGTAAGAGACCAAGGGTACCAAGAATCATAAAGAAAAGCCATGGATGGGTAACTAAGTTGATTTAGTATTATCCTAATACGCCAAGGTTGTGGGCTCGATCCCTGGTCAGAGCACTTACAAGAAGCAACCAATGAATGCATATATAAGTGGAACAACAAATGGAGGGTTTTCTCTTTCTCTCGCTCTCTCTTACCCTTCCTCTCTCTCTCTAGAATCAATCAATAAAATCTTTTTAAAAAAAATCATAAAGAATTGGTTTAGTAGAAAAATCACTTCTATTTGGTTTTAGAATGTCTTTTTCTATTTATACTGAAATATGGATGAGCCTGAAAGCTTGAGAATCCATAATCCCTCATCCTAAATAAGAAAAATAACCATAATGTCCCCTATGCAAGAAGCCCCAAACCTCCTCACCTCTCTCACCAGCCCCAAAACTGGTGGTGGTTTTTAGAACCTCTTACCAAGAACTTCTTCTCTCCACGGAGAACTTGAAAGACTGAGGAAAAGGCAGGAAGGAGAGGAAAGGATGCTTGAAAAAGGTGAGTTAGTAAAAGGGGTAGAACTTGGATGATCTGGCCAGCCACGGCCCACAGGAAGGCCTCCTACCTCAAGGGAGGCCCGGCAGCTAGAAAGAACGTTCCCTGCAGGGCTGCTGAGTGTCCGGCCAGGTGTGACTTGGAAACCTGAGAAGTCCAAGGAAAATGCAGTAACTAACTAGCAAACACTGGTGAAGTCCCAGGAGAAGGTGCTAACTCTCTTACAAAAGAAGTTTAGAGAAGCTGGTAAAGTAGCAGAGAGAACATCCTGGATAGTACGTCTGACGCACGCACATTATAAGGAAAGCTAGGGGGCCCGGGGCCAAGTCTCCTCCTATGCTTCAGGAAATCGTGGTGTCTCAGAACATGGACATTGAAAACAATGGAGAAGATTCAGGGAGAACTGCTGACTCCTCTACTAAAAGGAGAGTCTGGAGTTGAGCAGGTAGAAAGTAAAGTAGAACTGGGGATTGTCTGTTTGGGATGACTAGAAACCACAGATTCCTAGAATCACAGACCTCTTGAAGGTCACAGTGGTCATAGCCTGAGACATCAACCAAGCCTGAGACTTAGCACATACCAGATTTTATCAAACATTTATGACTGGCCAGTGTGGCTCAGTTGGTAAAGCGTCGTCCTGTGTCCCTGTCAGGGCACATGCCCAGGTTGCAGGTTCCGTCCCTGGTTGGGGTGTGTGCAGGAGGCAACCAATAGATGTTTCTCTCTTGCATCAATGTTTCTTTTCCTCTTTCTCCCTCTCCCTTCCTCTCTCTCTAAAATCAACAGAAACATATTTTTTAAAAAAACATTTTTTTAATAATTTAAAAGCCAGTCACATCCCAGACAAAGAGAAATAGCAAATGTTCACACCCTCTTTTGGAAATGTATGGCTCACTACCCCTCTATCCTAAAGGCAAAGTTCTCTAAATAAGGAGACAGGGATAGGAGCTGTATATGATAAAGGCCAGATCTCTTGATTATTCCATCATCAGAAGTCTGAAATCATATATAGCCTCAAAGAGCTAGCCTGCATTTTATGCAACCAAACGCATTTGGCAACTTCACAGCAATATTTCTGCTGGTCTGCACCTTCTCTCCAGACCCTCCCCAGAAGTCATGGGCTAGGAAGTAGCACACCCTCTTAGCAATGCCAATTCTTCCTTCCCCCTTAGAACCAAGATTCCACTCGTTATCACTTTCTTAAATCCCGGGCCTCTGTACGACCAGCCCACTGGTCTACCAACACTCAACTGAATTCTGCCCTTGTCATGAAAGAGGTGACTGCTTCTCTGGCCCAAACACCTGGGCACAGGATTCACCTAACTACCTGCCTTGCTTCCCACCCCTAAGTCAGTTTCTCACCTTTTTCTACAGACTAACCAGCCTGTTTGTCCTCAAGCTATTCTAGTGGAGAAGTCTGAGAGGGGAATCCATAGATAGGGGAATGATCATATTATTTTGATATCCTCACAGATTAGGTGCACAGGCTGACTAATAGCAGCAATGAAAGTTTATGGATAAGCACATATGCATATGCACACACACACACACACACACACATATGCTGCTGCTGCTTCACCTCCACTCCCAGTTTCCTATTCCACACACAGCCCAGCTTGACTCTGCCACCCCAGTCACCAGCCACAGACCTGAGCAAGGAAGCAGCCAGGACTGAGATTGAGTGTTTGGTGGAGCAGAGAAACAGAAGAGCGATGTAGCAGAAATGAGTCTGGCTATTGTCTGAGAAAAATCTAGTGGCCTACAAGTATTGGCACAGCCTGCGAAAGCAGCTAAAGTTCCTAAGGCGCAGTAATCTGGGAGGGTCTGGTTTGGGACTCCAAAGTGCACACGTGGTCCTGTCACTGCTCTGCACAGTTAACAAAGGCAGGTTCCCTACTCTGAGGAAGCCTAGCAGACACCAAGTATCGCAAGACATTAGTGTATTAGAAGAGAGATTTTTCTGAGTGATATTGTCACCCAGTTTCATTGCACGAAGGGCTTTTCCCTGTTACATTTCTTACAACCACGCTGAGGCTAGGGAATAGGTGAAGCAGTCACCAACTTCCCTACGCAGAGGTGGCAGGTGAAGATGGGAGGGGCAAGATGGAGGGACAGCGTAGGCAGGCGTATTCTCCGAAAACAAAGGTGAAAAAGAAAGCAGCTCAAGGAAGCAGCAGAGAGGAACAGGGTGAGCTAGCAGGAAAGCTTTTCCCTCTGAAAGGTTGCCTTTTGACTTTTCTAGGTTAGGTAGGTCGATGTAAATGGGCACAATTACTACATTTATCCTAAATGACACAATGTGAAGCGATGGCCCACAAAGATTTTAATGCCCGTATAGTTCAAAGAATTCCGATTCCTGTCTGCACCACATGAAAGGAAGTGGAGGCTTCCTTGTAAGTAGAAAATCAGAAAAACCAGGAACAATTCCCACAACTCAAAGGGATATCATTTTAGCATCTGAAAGCAGCATGCCATTCAGATCACATATATTGCTTGTTTATAGCAGGCGTCCATTCTGAGTGGATGGTGTCCATCCTATGCCAGTTGTTAAATATTTTGAAAATCATCTGTGTAGTAAAATAACTGTGGCTCTAAGAGTTAGGAAAATATGAAAGAATTGCAGGATTCCCTTAATATCAAAGGTCCTTAGAGTAAGCCTAGAATACACTAATATATTTAAAAGTCTAAGGAATGCAAAATTCCATTAAGGTATGTAGCCAATGCTTCACCTATGGAAAGGCGAGCACACTGAGGGAACATCCCACTATACAAACATTTTCCAGGATGGAAAACTAATATGATCGGATTCCTTGGGTGCTGACATGCTTGCTAGTCACATTCTGTGCACAAAGGAAGGGAAGATCTATACACACTGGAGCCCAAACCATTGATATTTGCTGCAACAGAGAAGAGAAAAAACTATAAATGTAGTTGTAAACTAAATAAAAGATTAATTTTACCACTTGCAGTTCATTTCCCAATGTGGCTTTTTAGATCTGAGAGCCAGAACATTTGTCAACCAACAGAAATCCATGATGATGAAGAAACCACACGGCTAAAGGTGACTTGGGTCCATTGAGTTGATGGCGGTTCACTACTAAGGCAGCTAAGGACACATTACATAAGCACTTGGCTATCTCCAGGAATGCAATCAAATGTGTTCTCAAGAGAGAGTAGCAAGACATGGATGTTTCTACAACATGGCCAATAAAAACACCTTTTCTCCTCTCCACTCACAAACAACTATTATCAAACCTTTCCCAGATATTTAGAAAGCAGACACTAGGACACATTTTCAGCTTAGGAAGTCCTTCCTAGTGTCTACACTAAATCTTTCTATAGCAATTTAAGTTCAGTCTCTAACTCTATCCTCAATGAAACCAAGAGAAGCTACTCACCCTCACTTCTCATTATTGATTTTCTCCCAAGCCTTTTCCTGTCTAAGCTAAACAACTCCAATGTCCTTCTTGGCTCTTTCATCATCCAAGGTTCTTGCTGAGTTATGCAAACTGCTGCTAGGGAACAATGAAGGTGCACCCAGGGCAGAGGAGTCTTCTGCCTGCAGTGGTGGGCACTGCCAATGCCCAGGCCGCTGACTCCTGGTAGCCAACCCTCCTGACAGCCTCTGACCAGCATCCCCCAGAGCAGGCATTCCAACCAAGGCCCAGGGCTGCCTAGGAGCCCACAGATACTATGGGACTAGAGAGCCTTCCCTTTTCTCTCTGCTCTGCTCCCACTTCCCTACCCCATCCTTTAGGAAAAGAAACCTCATTAACGGAATCCTCATGGCAGCACAGATCCATCTGGCTTGGCAGGCCAGCAGAGCGTTTCAGAGAAGATGGCAGGAAGATGGGAAGCTGGGTCTTCAATAGTGGCAGTTTTGACGAGAAAGAGAAGGAAGAGGAGAAGTACCAACAGGAGGTGGTCTTCTGCTTCCACGTTTCCATCTGGCTCTGGTATGGGGAGAGCTGGATGCCCTCCAACACACACCATGAATAACTGAATGCTTCGGCATGGCTTAGACGTGACCAAGGACAGGGCCAGACTTGGTCTTGCTTCTTCTCTGAGAAATTTGCCATCTTCTCTGTAACCAGAACTTCCCTGAGGCATCTTATGGCCCAAATCTTCCATCCGGCAAAGACTTCTAGTTGAAGAGACTGAATAAAAGTGTTACAATTAGACAAAAAGGGAACACGTGAGTCATTCCTGCTTTTAACACAATACTTTTGAAGATGTCACCACAATTTGGATCTGGCTATATTTTAAGTCCATTTACAAGTAGACTAATTCTCAACTAAAAATAACCATATGCGTTATACATTTCAACAGCTGCCTGGATTTTCCTCTGAAGGAAACAAGATTCTACATTTCACCCACATTCAGCACAGATTTATTTTAACCCACTCGATGAAGAAATAACCAGATTCTCCTCAGAGCAGCCTTCTGAGTGCAGCAGTCAGTACTATTCCCATTTTCCTGCCCAGTAAACTGAGAGCCAGAAACAGTGGCCTGCCAGATTGCACATGGAAGAATAACTAAGCCAGGTCTCCTCCTTGCTACCCTACTGCTTTGTTTTGTTGTTGTTGTTGTTGTTTTTTATCAACTAGAAAAGTTAATAAAACCTAAGAGCTTCCCATCAGTTATCTGCCTACTTAAACCTAAGTGGTGTTTGGACTAAATTATTCCATTTGGGTGCATAGCCTACCTCACTGTAGGCAAAGACACCTCAAGACCGTCCAGTTTCTCCATTAACCTGATAAAATTTGATCTATGCTATTGGCAAATGATACATAGAATTTAGTTTCCAAAATAAGAAAACAGCTGCACTTCAATATTTTAAAATCTTTACTTGGCAATAATTCTCATTATGGAATTGTATCAATACTATCAACACTATCTAAATATTTTAGCCATTTCCCAATTTGTGTGGTTGCAGTAACCGGAGAAATGCTCTATAGATTTTGAAATGGGGACTAGAAAGAAGATTAAGGGAACTAAATAGATAAAGCAAACTTACAACCCCAAATAACTCCATCCTGACTTTGGGCCTGTGTAAGTGGTCAGCTCAAAACAGCTTATCTGTTCAACTAGTTAGAAAACATTTTTACTTTCTTAGGCTTACAGTCATTCTCGTGGGGGTAGTAGCAATCCTAGAAGGGATATTTGTTAGACAAATTCAATTTTACGAATAAAATATCTTTTACTTGCAACATGATTGCTATTTTTAAAAGCCAGAAATAAATAAAAATCAGCAATTATAGTTCTCTTTACCTCTTTTCCTTTGTATTTCCAGGATTCATACTGAGAGCTTTCCAGACTGTGGTTTTAGGCATTTCATCAGATATATTAATCTCAGAGGGGTCACATCTGAAATGAATACTTAGGACAGTAAATGTCAGACATACAAATAAGATACACATCTCAGTCTATAATGACCACCCCTCCCCCCACTAAAGGGAAAAGATTAGGTCTGAAGGAACTCAGCGAACAGCTCTTAGGAGGACTGGGATCCAGATGGTCGGGATGTAGAGAAGCACGGTGACCTAGAAGGTGCTGGCTGCTGAGGGCTGAGCTGATGTGCCAGGTGGTGGCCAGTCCTGCCCCCCCCCCAGTTCTGCACTCCTTCGAGAGGCCCCTCTGGGGAAGCTGATCTCGGTGCTGTAATGCCAATGGTGGTAGCATCAGCTCCCACTTACTGAGCGCTGGCTGTACCAGCCACAGGGCTAAGCACGCTTCATTCATTTTCTCACTTACTTGGCCAAATGTTTTTCATTTGTAGTTAACAAAGGACTTTCATATTATCTTAACTGTCACAGATTCGGAGATTATTAACATCCTTATTTGAAGGTACAGAAACCAAAGCTCCCAGGGCTAATTGACCATCCAAGGTCAAATGTCAGTAAGTGGAGAATCAGGACCTTGAATCCAGTCCTTGGTTTCCTAGAACCCCACAGTACTCTGAAGTTTCTACAAGCCAAACGGCCTCCTTTCAAAAGGCCAAGAGAGCAGGCAGTATCCTAATAGAGGAAGAACACTGCTCCTACTTTGCTGCCAAAGAATTCAAAGCCCATGGCTCCTTCTAGAACAACCTTCCAGAAAGTTTATTAAGGTCCAAAGACTCCATTCTTCTGGAATCAGTAAAAAAAAAAAAGTCAAACTCATAGTAACAGAGAGTAGAACGGTGATTACAAGAGGCTGGGAGAGGGGGGAAAGGGAAGATGTTGATCAAAGAGTGCCAACTTTCAGTTATAAGATAAATTCTGAAGACCTATGAACATCATGGTGACCATAGTTAATTATAATGCATTGTACATTTGAAATGTGCTAAGAAAGTGGATCTCAAGTATTCTCAACACACACAAAAGAATGCTAACTACAGGAGGTGATGCATATGTTATTAGTTTGATAGTAGTAATCATTTCACAATATATACATATATCAAAATATAACACTGTATATCTTAAATATGTACTATTTTTATTTGTCAAAAATAAATATATTTTAAAAATTTAAATGTTCAAAGAAAAGACTTTCCTCACTTCCCCCTCTGTATAAACCACAATGAATCCAATGATTCAGCGATACATTATCCAGGATTTAGATGACCCAGATCCCCTCTCTTCCTTTTCTGCCCCTTCTTGACCTCTGGGCTTCTTTCAGCTGTGTATCTCTCTTCCAGAGTGGAAACAAAACGCCAGGAGTGAAACCACAAATGGACCCATTTAGCTCCCTGTGACTTGTGGTGAGCAATAGCTTCAATAGAGAAAGGGGCTGATATCACTGGCAGAAGGAGGGCATTTTTGTGACCCCAGTTCAGTTCATGGGAGTGTAAATGTCACGAGCCAAGCTGGAATGGCTGTTTCTGCCCATCCCAAAAGGCTCGCCTAACTGTGGGAAGTTCATGCCCACCAGGCTGAGAACTCTCTGAAAACAGAGACCACATCCTATTCATCTTTGAAAAGTAGCCGAGGAAGGCAGAAGAAACACTGGGTTGAGGAGTACAAAGACCAGGGTTTGAATCTTAAACTTCCTACTTAGCAGCATTGTGACCTTGGGCAAATTAACTAAGACCCTCCAAGCCCCGGCTTCTTCACTGTGCAAATGTGGACAAAGAGGCTCATAGCGGAAGGTTGTTGTGAAGACAAATTGAGAGCACACGGTAAGTCTTGTAGCGCCGTCCTGGCACAGAGGAGATCTCCATGCACGGGCTCCCCCAGCTCTAGCCTCCCCGTGATTCCCAGCACTAGTCTACGGCGTCACACATGGCACGTACTCAGTAAGCCATGAAAGGAAAAGGTGTTTTCACATTTTCAAACAGGGAGACAGGCTGAGTGCTGGCTTTTCATGCCAGCAACTACAACTGTGACCCCAGCCGAGACACACACACACACACACACACACACACACACACACACAGCCAGAACATTTACAGAACAATCAAAACAGTCAACATCTTGTTATTCTACCTGAAACTGTTGTTCTTTCCAGTACTGCTTAGTAACTTCCTGCTCTCTAAGGGGAACTTGTCTCTCTCCATTTCTATCATTTTCTCAGCCTCCTGGAAGAAAAGAAGACATTATTATGTCTTGTAAAGTAAAAGTATCAAGTAATACTATAAGTCTACATCAGTCCATTTTTTTCTATCACCGTAATTTCTACCTAATTTTTCTCACATTTACTATAAAAAAAGGTATAATTATGTTCTTTCCTACACTTGACTCATCACAAAAAGAGAGACAACTAAATATTTGTATCTATGGAATAGTATTTTTTTAAAAATCCTGACTCTGAGGATTTAAACTATCAATTTCCTAGAAACAGAGGGGACAAACAAACATGTTAAATGACACCAAGGACACATTTAATAAAATCTAAATGGTGGGGAACCCTATAGGTCAAAGACCCAATTTCTTCAACAAAAATTAAAAAGGATAGAAGGGTAACTCCTAAAGAGATTTAAGAAAAATATCAACCAATTGCAATATATGGATCATATTTAGATCCTGATTCAAACATATCTATATATATAAAAGCCTAAGCAACCGTTATGACCGGTTGACTGGTCCCTATGACACCCACTGACCACCAGGGGGCAGATGCTCAACACAGGAGCTGCCCCCTGGTGGTCAGTGTGCTCCCATAGCCAACCTCCTGCCATTGGCCAACCTCCTGCAGTCCCTCCCCCCGGCTGGCTGGCCCCGATCAGGACTGGGTGAGATGGCCCCGATGGCTGGCCAGGCCAAAGGACCCTACCCATGCACGAATTTGTGCACCAGGCCTCTAGTTATTAAAATAATAATAAGGCAACTGGGAGAAATATATACTGAATATTCTTTCTACTTTTGTATATGTTTGAAATGTTCCATAATAAAATGTTTTCTTAGAAACAAATTAATTAATACAAAGGAAATAATTATAGAGAAAAATGTGTACAAAGATGTTTAATTAGTATAATTAATAAAACCTAAAACAATTATAAACTTTAACAAAGGAAGAATGTTTATATTAATTATTAGATAATAATATTATAGAATACTAGAGGCCCGGTGCACAAATTTGTGCACTAGTGGGATCCAGCCGGCCCACCCCCAATGGGGGCCATTGAGGGCGGGCTGGCTGGAGCGAGGGGCCGTGGGCAGGGCCAGTTGGGGCGAGGGGTCGCAAGCAATTTGCCGGCCAGCCCTGGCCCCGATCAGGGTTGGGGGGGGCCCCCTCAGGGCAGGGCCAGCTGGGGGGGGGGCATGGGTGGTTTGCTGGTCAGCTCAGCCCCAAATTGGGGTGGGGGTGCCCACTCAGGGGCAGGGCCGGCCGGGGCAAGGGGCTGCAGGCGTTCCGGTCGTTCTGCGGTTCAGTTGATTTGCATATTACCCTTTTATTATATAAGGATTATGCAGCCATTAAAAGAATAAATAGAAACCCTTGTTGGTGTGCTCAGTGGTTAGGGCATCAGCCCGCACAATAAAGGGTCACAGGTTTGATTCCTAGTCAAGGGCACATATCTGGGGTTGCAGGTTCAATTCCCAGCCCCAGTTGGGGCGCATGCTGGAGGCAATCAATTGATGTGTGTGTGTGTGTGTGTGTGTGTGTGTGTGTGTGTCTCCCTCCTTCCACTCTCTCTAAAAATTAATGGAAAAAATATCCTCGGGTAAGGATTAACAACCACAAAAAAGAATCAAATATATGTACTGTATGTTCACACAGAAACATGAGAATGTCATAAAATCAAGATAAGGGGGGAAATCAGAATATATAATAGTCCCCCCTCCCCAGAAATATACAATTATTACACTTATATGAAAACTATGTTAAGGATTTAAAGAGAACATAAAGAAATGACCATAAATGTTGAATGCTAACATGAAATTTTGGGGTGAAATCTTCATTTTCTTCATTTGATTTAGTTTTAAAAATAATTTATAAAGAATTTTTGTAAAGTAAGAATATAATGTTTACTAGCCACCTTATACTTAATATCCAAAAGGCATCCCTTGATTTTCCTCTCAAACCTGCTATTTCTAGGTCTTCCCCATCTTAATAAATAGCATAGCCATTCATCTAATTGTTCCTCCAAAAATCTAAGTCTTGTCCTTCATTCCTCTCTCACCCGTCCTCACTATAATTAGCAAAACCTGTCAGCTCTATCTTCAAAATAAGTCCCCAATCCAGCCATTTTCACCAACTCTCCCTTAGTCTAAGCCAGTGGTCGGCAAACTGCGGCTCGCGAGCCACATGCAGCTCTTTGGCCCCTTGAGTGTGGCTCTTCCACAAAATACCAACTTCTGCGCATGGGCCACGAAGTTTCAATCGCACTGTACGTGCGTGCCCGTACAATGACACCAAGGACACATTTAATAAAATACCAACTAAATCAGGATCTAAATATGATCCACATATTGCAGTTGGTTGATATATAGCCAAAGGAAATGAAATCACTATCTTGAAGTGATAGCTGTACCCCATGTTTATTGCAGCATTATTTATAATAGCTAAGATATGGAAACAACCTAAGTGCCCATCAATGGATGAGTGGATAAAGGTTATTATACTCACACACACTGGAATATTAACTAGCCATAAAAAGGAAATCCTGCCATTTGCAACAATGTGAATGAATCTTGAGGGCATTATGCTAAGTGAAATAAGTCAGACAGAGAAAGACAAATACTGAAAAATCTCACTTATATGTGGAATATAAAAAACCTGAAGTCATAGAAACAGAACACATTGGTGGTTACCAGGGGTTGGAGGTGGGGTAGGGGAAATGGGTAAAGGTAGTCAAAGTATACAGACTTTCAGTTATAAGATGAATAAATTTTTCTGGGGATATAATGTACAGCATGATGACTATATTTAACAATACGTAAAAATTGTATACTTGAAAATTGCTGAGAGAGTAGATTTAAAAGTTCTCACCACAAAAAATAATTGTGACTATGTGATAGATGTATTAACTAATGCTATTGTGGCAGTCATTTTGCAATGTATACATATATCAAATCATTATATAGTACTAGAGGCCCGGTGCACGACATTCGTGCACTCGGGGGGTCCCTCAGCCCAGCCTGCGCACTCTCACAGTCTGGGACCCCTCGGGGGATGTCCGCCTGCCGGCTTCAGGCGGACATCCCCCCAAGGTGTCCTTAGCACTGCCGCGGAGGCGGGGGTGACGCTTGCCAGCCATAAGCTGGCTCTGGCTGAGCGCACTGACCACGAGGGGGCAGCTCCTGCGTCTGCCCCTGGTGGTCAGTGAGCATCATAGCGACCAGTCATTCCACCATTTGGTTGATTTGCATATTAGGGTTTTATTATATAGGATACCATAAACTTATGCAATGCTATATGTCAATTATATCTCAATAAAAGTGGAAAAGATACAAGATTTTAAAAATTCAAGATATTTTTAAAAAGTCCTTTTAAAAGGTTTTGCCAAGGACACTATTTCAGGCACTAACTGTACTTGGAAACACTTTCCCACTCATTCAGTTCTTGGTCTGATATTTTCATTTTGTTACATATCCTTTCTTTGCATGTAAAGTCCACTGATTGAGGGTCCATTGTGTGGGTGGCAGATGCCAAGCGCTGAGGGAAATGAGGAAGGACAGAAAGTCCTATGCAAGTTAACTTTGCATGGTGCCAACCACAGCATCATCTGCAATTAGGTACACAAAAAATACTCTCAGAAAACAATGGGTTTTGTATACTTGTCAAATTAGACCTTTGGGGAGAACATGACCCATTAGATCTGATATAAGAGCAGATTCTATGTTCATATTCTAAATGTGAACCTGGTGAATAGACTAGATAAACAAAGAAAAAAATGAAGGACAGTCAGGGACAAGAGTCCTTAATCCTTTCTCAGCTGAGAACAGCTCTGAAGGAATCTTCCCAGCTCCTAAATCTGACACTTGGGATTCCAGACATGCTGACTTTTCATGGTCCCTGCCCATGTCCTGTAATGTGAGGCTGCCCCAAGGTGTACAGTTGGTGCAAGAACCCTGACCTCTTCCTCCTTGGCCTTCTGTTTGGCATCATCCAACTTCTTCTTTTTGCTTTCAGGCATGAGATCATCTAACCAGCTCAGCTCTCGCTTCGAGAAACAGAGATCCATGACTTTCCTGACAAAGACCAAGGCCAAAACCTGAAGAAAAGTTAAGAAAGTGAATTAAAGTGACTCATTTACTTCCTGAAGTTAAAAGCACAATCTTATTTTCACAGCTGAATAGGGCATTTCATGCAAAATCAAACTCATAATAATCATTATAGTTGCCTTTTATTGACTGCCCTCTTTGTACCAGAACTAAGGTAAGTGTTTGATATACAATATTTTACTTAACTGTCAGAAGTGTCTGAAGTGGTAGATATGCACTATTTTGAGCCACTGGGAGAGAGGAATAGGTTGGAGAGCAATTAATTTAATTCCCTCATTAAAAAGAGAAAACTCTTCATTTGCAGATGGCCCTAAGACCTACTTTCCCTGGCTTCACAGGAAGGGCAGCCGGGAAGCATGGGGAACACGGCCACAGCGGGTCCAGCACAGCCCAAGCATGCTCACCATGGGTGAGGGGACCTTGAAGGACTATCTGGATCCCTCCAATCCTTTGCCTATGTATTTTCCCCACAAATCCTTGTTTTATGCCCTGCATCATGGATCTGTAGTGGTTTTTGTCTTTGTGCTCTGGTCTGGTCTAATACTCATTTTATAAATGGAAAACTGAGGCCCAGGGAGAGAAAGTAACTTGCCTAAAATCTGACGGCTAATCGCCTTAATAGAAACAGCTCAGGGTGCCTCATTAGCTGCTCCATTTTTTCCCATAAGGGCCTCTTCAGCCAAAGGAGAGCAAATAGCCCAGAATGACCTGCCTGGATTGAATGAGGTTCACCAGCTATCTCTGGTGGATGGACAAAGAATGAGGCAAATCGAGCTTATGAAATTCAACCACATTTCTCCTGAATTTCTGCGACTACTTTCCTAATCGATCCAAAATTGATAGTATCCCTTCCAGGAGTTGTCAGGAATTTGCTACTTTTTCAAACCAAACACTCAACCCCTGACATAACACCCAAATGTAGAACCCTACAGATATTCTGGCAAAATTGAGAAGCCCATCAGGAGAGGATATATCTAGGAGCCTAGAGAAAAAGAAACCCCCTCCAGTTTCCTAACCCTTGAATATTCTCCCAGTAAGACAGAGTTCAAAAGTACCTAAACAAGTACCAAACATTGCCTTTTCTCTCTAGAGGCCCACCCTTTAATTAACTTTCAAACGGCCCACTGAATTCTCAGCTTCCTCATGACACAGAGGGAGCCAGAGAGAAGGCATCAAGAGGAGGCGATGAAACAGTCAGGTGGCAAGAATTTCATCACCACCCTAGATTTAGAAAACAGCTTGTCACCTGTTGCACCACACACAGTTCCCAAGACTGTCCCAGTCACTTAGTGTTAGAACAACCTCTTCCTATCTCCCAGTGGCTCAAAACAGTGCATTTCTACCACTTTAGAAACTTCTAATTGCATTAAATTATAAATTGGAACTCTACTGCTTTGAAGTAATATGCAAATTACTGCAAACATTAAGAATCCTTTCCATGTCAGATTCACACAAAAAAGTAAGGAAGGGGGAGGGAAGAAGGAAGAAACAACAGGCAGACTGGTAACCTGGAAAATAAACATGGCAAACTGTTGCACACATGTACCCACACCCCAAGGTCCCCAAAACGATGCTGCTCCTACAAAGACCAACCAAAACATAAAACCTCACCATCAATAGGTATTAATATCCAGATTTTATAAAGAACTCCTAAAAAAACAAACAACCCAATTTAAAAAATGGGCAAATAACTTGAATAGGCATTTCTCCAAATAAAATATACGAATAGCCAATAAGCACATGAAAAGATGCTCAACATCACTAGTCATTAGGGAAATACAAATAAAAACTACAATGAGATACCACTTCACACCCATTAAGATGGCTGTTATTTTTTTAAAATGTATTTTTATTGATTTTAGAGATGAAGGGAGAGGGAGAGATAGAAACATCAATAATGAAAGAGAATCATTAATCGGCTGCCTCCTGCATGTCCCCCTCCCCCTCACTGGGGATCGAACCAGCAATGTGCCCTTAACCAGAATCGAACCTGGAACCCTTCAGTCCACAGGACAACGTTCTATGCACTGAGCTAAACCAGCTAAGGCAGGATGGCTGTTATTAAAAAAAAATCCCCCAAACAGAAAATAAATGTTGGCAAAGATGTGGGAAAATAAAATCCTGTGCACTCCTGGTAGAAATGTAAAATGGTGCAACCATTTCATGACAGGTCCTCAAAAAGTTAAAAATGGAAGTACCATATGACCCAGAAATCCCACTTCTTGGTATTTATCCAAAAGAACTGAAAGCAGGGACACAAACAGGCATTTGTTTCGTTATCATTATTCACATAGTCAAAGTACTGTTCACAATAGCCAAAAGGTGGAAGCAATCCAAGTGTCTGTTGATAAATGAATAGATAAATAAAATGTGGTCTATATCATAATGGAATACTATTCATTTTTTAAAAAGGAAGGAAATTCTCACACATGTTACAACATGGATGAATCTTGAAGACATTGTAAGTGAAATAAACAAATTACACAAGGACAAATACTACAGGATTTCACTCATATGAGGTACCTAGAGTTATATTTTGCCCAAAGTCAAATGCAGAGACAGAAAGTAGAATGGTGGTTACCAAGGGCTAGTGGGAGAAAGGAATGGGGAGTTATTGTTTCATGGTACAGAGTTTCCGTTGTGCAAGATGAAAAAAGCTATGGAGGTGTATGGTGGCACTGTAAATGTACTTAAAAATTAAGATGGTAATTTGTATGTTATGTATATTTTATCACAAATTTAAAAATAAGTAATAATTTTTTAAAAACTCACCATCATTGGAAAGACAATGGCAGCTGGAGATGCCTTGATGACCCAGAGCAGGACCAGGCAGGTGAGCTGGATGAGGGTGAAGAGGTGCACTTTGCGTAGCGGCACGTGCCGGAGGTAAATGAAATCTGGCTGATGCTTTGCAGGCATCCCGAAGAGCTTCAGCCGATCAAAGAACTGAAAGAAGAGGACTGGCATTTATTTTCAGGAGGTTTCTCTGGGTCAGAAACTTCTTAGGCAAATTCCAGTCTCTTACATCACCTTCTCTGAAAGGCAGGCAATAGCCATTTCCACTGGACAAAAATGGAAACTGAGTCTCAGAATAGGCAATTTGGCCAAGGTTGGTAAATGACAGTGTCAAATTTAAAATTCATCTTTTTCAATTCAAGGTTCAAATTCCTTTTTCCTACCCCACACGGTGGCTCCTGAGAAAGCTCTTTCTCAGGGAGGGTTGAAAATAAAATAAGGCAATTGCATCTTTCTATTATAAAAACCAAATCTCTTCCTGGCTATTGGAGAAGTTTGGAGATTCTCATTATTATTTATAGTAAAAATATAAAATGAAACCTCATAACATTCTGGATATAGAAAGTATGACTATTTTTATATTATAAAATGAAAAAAGGGCCCAGAGAGATTAAATAACCTGTCCACAGTCATATTACAATTCAGTATATAAAAAAGACCACTGGACATTCCATAAAACAAAGAGGAACCAGCCACCAATAGTAGAAGCAGCTAAGTCATTATATCATCTGCGGTAATCAGTGACAAGCTCCGGAGTTTCTCCGTTCAAAGGACTCAGGGGGATTAGTGATAGATGGGAAACGGCAGAGTGTGCTAGGAAGTACTATTTGCTTACGTGGAGCAGCTCCCACTATGCCCCAACCTCTTTACAAAGTGCCCCAGTTAAACCCCTCTCTCACACTTTAGCCTGGCACTAAAACTAGCACTGTCCATGTGTGGTTCTTGACCAACCTTTTATATCTAAGTTTACCAGCACCTATTATTAAGCACCTATTATTTAATGTGTGCCTAATAATCGTCTGTTGAAAACTATAACAAATGACTGGAACCATGACATCAAGCCAGGCTACTCTATAAGTCCCTGTACCCTCATGCCAACATGGTTGTGTTTTGCCCAAAGTCCAAAGAAATGTCTAAAATAGCTTAACCAGCAAGACCAGGGAAAAGTTTCTCAAGAACTAATTTGTGCTGGAGCTGTCCCCCCCGGTCAGGACAAGTGAGCTCGCAGTGAGAAGACGGTGCCCTGGTGCGCCATACAGTACCTGAATTCCCTGCAGTGAAGAGACGCCCATGTAGAGGAAGACTCCATAGAGTACCGGCATCGGGATGAACTGCACACAAAGGGCAGAGAGACCAGAGATTACACTTGGTATCAGCACACTCAAGACTATAACAGCTTTTAAGTCTCCAAGGGGGAAGTAAAGTCACAAAATCACAACGTCAACAACACATTCGTTTCTGCTGCCTTTTCATGATGTAGAAGTAGAGGCAAAACAAGCTGCCTATGATAAAAACTCTTGTTCTGAAATGAAATGATTACACATAAGTGTAATATGGTCCTGGTTAAATCATAGGCCTCATGTCTTACCCGTATTTGGCTCTTTCTCCTCTGCAGGGATGGACACACACACACACACACACACACACACACACATCTTTTTTTTTTTACTAGTGTGAAAGGAAAAGTATATTTTTTTCATTTTTTAAATGTTATTTTTTAATAGTTGACATTCAATATTATTTTATATTAGTTTCAGGTTTACAGAATAGTGGTTAGACAATTATATAATTTATGAAGTGATCCCCTTGCTAATTTTAGTGCCCACCCAGCACCATATATAGCAGTGATGGCGAACCTATGACACGCATGTCAGAGGTGACACACGAACTCAGTTTTTTGGTTGATTTTTCTTTGTTAACTGGCATTTAAATATATAAAATAAATATCAAAAATATGTCTTTGTTTTACTATGGTTGCAAATATCAAAAAATTTCTATATGTGACATGGCATCAGAGTTAAGTTAGGGTTTTTCAAAATGGTGACACACCAAGCTCAAAAGGTTCGCCATCACTGATATATAGCATATATAGTTATTACAATACTAGAGGCCCGTTTGCAGGAAGATTCCTGCAAGAATAGGACTTCGCTCCCGTCTCTGCCGCTCCTACCCCGCCGCTCCTACCCGGCCTGTCTCTGCCGCTTCTCTCCCGTCTGTCTTCACTACCTCGGCTCCGTTGCTTGGCTTCCTTCTACGGTGTCTTCAGTCTTAGCTCTCAGCCGGTATATGCAAATTAGCTGCCATCTTTGTTGGCAGTTAATTTGCATATTGCTCTGATTAGCCAATGGTGGGCATAGCGAAGGTGTGGTCAATTTGCATCTTTGTCTATTATTAGATAGGATTATTGACTATATTCCCTATGCTGTACTTTTATATCCCCGTGACTATTTTGTAACTACCATTTAGTAGTTCCTAATTCCTTCAGCTTTTTCTCCATGCCCTCTCCAACCTCCACCCATCTGGCAATGCTCAGTTTATTCTCTGTATCTATGAGTCTATTTCTGTTTCATTTGCTCATTTATTTTGTTCTTTAAATTCTATATATATAAGTGAAATCATATCATATTAGTCTTTCTCTGTCCGACTTATTTTGCTTAGCATAATACACTTTAGGTCCATCTCTGCTGTTGCAAATGGTAAGATTTCATTCATTTTTATGGCCAAGAAAGATTCATTTATATATATGTCCCACCACTTTTTTATCCATTCATCTATTGATGGGCACTTGGGTTGCTTCTATATCTTAGCTATTGTAAATAACATTGCCATGAAATAGGAGTGCATATATCTTTTCACATAAGTGTTTAGAGTTTTTCAAATATATACCCAGAAGTGGAGTCACTGGGACATAAGGCAGTTTCATATTTACTTTTTTGAGGACACTCCATACTGTTTTCCACAGCTGCTGCACCAACCTACATTCCCGCCAACATTGCAAGAGGGTTCCCTTTTCTCCACATCCTCACCAATATTTGTTGTTTGTTGATTTACTGATGATAGCCATTCTGATAGGTGTGAAGTGGTATCCCATTATGGTTTTAATTTGCATTTCCCTGATGATCAGTGCATTGAGCATTTTTTCATATGTCTGTCTAAAAAGGACATACAGATCCATTTTTAATTGGATTGTTGTTGGGTTTTTTGGTATTGAGTTTTATGAGTTCTTTGTAAATTTTGAATATTAACCCTTTATGGTATGTATCATTGGCAAATATCTTTTTCCATTCAGTAGGTTATCTTTTCATTTTGTTCATCGTTTTCTTTGCTGTGTAAAAACTTTTTAGTTTGATGTAGTCCCATTTGTTTTTTTTTCTTTTGTTTCCTTTGTCTGAGAAGATATATCAGAAAAAGTATTACGAAGAGAAATGTCAGAGTGTTTACTGCCTGTTTTTTCTTCTAGGAGCTTGATGGTTTTAAGTCTTACATTTAAGTCTCTCATCCATTTTGAGTTTATTCTTGTATATGGTGTAAGAAGGTGGTCTACTTTCATTTTTTGCTTGTATCTGTCCAATGATACCAGTACCATTTATTGAATAGATTGCCTTTACCCCATTGTATATATATTTTTTGTAAATATGTTTATTGATTTTAGAGAGAGAGAAAGGGAGGGAGGGAGGAAGGAAAGGAGGGAGGGAGAGAATCATTGATTGGCTGCCTCCTACAAGTCCCTTACTGGGGATTGAGCCCACACCCCAGGCATGTGCCCTGAATGGGAATCAAACCAGTGACCTTTCAGTCCATGGGACGACCCTCAACCAACTGAGACACACTGGTCAGACCCCATTGTATATTCTTGCCTCTTTTGTAATATATTAACCATATAGGAGTAGATTTATGGACTCTCTCTTCTGTTCCACTGATCTATATGTCTGTTTTTATACCAGTACCATGCTGTTTTGATTACTATAGTCTTGTAATATAGTTTGATGTCAAGTAGCATGATAACTCCAACTTTGTTCTCCTTTCTCAAGATTGCTGTGGCTATTTCAGGGCTTTTTGTGGTTTCATATAAATTTTTGGATTATTTGTTCTAGTTCTGTGAAAAATGCCATTGTTATTTTGATAGGAATTGCACAGAATCTATAGATTGCTTTGGGTAGTGTGAACATTTTAACAATGTTAATTCTTCCTACCCTAGAGCGTCACTATATGTTTCCATTTATTTGTATCTTCTTCAATGTCTTATAATTTTCCAAGGACAGGTCTTTTACTTTCTTGGTTAAATTTACTCCGAAGTATTTTTTATGCAATTGTAAATGGGATTGTTTTCTTAATTTCTCTTTCTGATAGTTCATTATTGGACACACACATCCCTCTTTTATTTTTTATTACAATTTGCATTCAACACTTTGTATTAGCTTCATGTATATAGCACAGCACATAAACATTCATATAGGTTACAAAGTGTTCTTCCTGATAATTCAAGTGCCTACCTGCACTATAAATATTATTACAATATTAATTATATTCCCTATGCTTTACCTTATATCCACATACTTATTTTGTAACTACCAATTAGCACTTCTTAATCCCAATACCTTTTTTCAGCCCGCACCCAACATCCCTTCTCTCTGGTCCCCATCAGTTTGTTCTCTGCATCTATAAGTCTGTTTCTAGTTTGTTCGTTTATGTTGTTCTTTAGAGTCTACATATAAGTGATATCATATGGTATTTGTCTTTATCTAGCTTATTTCACTTAGCATAATACTATCTAAGTCTATCCATGCTGTCACAAATGGTAAGACTTCATTCATTTTTTTGTTGTTGTTGTTAATCCTCACTCGAGGATATTTTTACAGCTAATATTCCATTGTATGTATGTACTACAGCTGCTTTACCCACTTGTCTATGATGGGTACTTGAGTTGCTTCCATATCTTGGCTATTATAAATAACTAGAGGCCTGGTGCATGAAATTTGTGCACGGGTAGGGTCCGTAGGCCTGGCCAGCGATCACAGCCAATAGGGGCCTTCCGGCTGCCGGCCAGGGCCTTCCTTCCCTGGCTGCTGGCTGCCAGCTGGGGCCTTCCTTCTTTCCATGCCGCCCCCTGGTGGTCAGCACACATCATAGTGAGCGATCAAACTCCCAGTCGTGTGGTTGAACTCCCAAGGGGACACTTTGCATATTAGCCTTTTATATATAGATGCTACAATGCATGTTGGTGTGCATATATTCTTTCAAATTAGTGTTTTGGGTTTCTTCAGATTAATACCCAGAAGTGGAATTGCTGGATCATTAGGCAGTTCCATTTTTAATTTTTTTAGAAACCTCCACACTGTTTATCATAGTGGCTGCACCAATCTGCATTCCCACCAACAGTGCACAAGGGTTCCCTTTTCTCCACATCCTCACCAGCACTTGTTTGTTGATTTAATTATGATCATTTTTCTGACAGGTGTAAGGATAACTCACTGTGATTTTGATTTGCATTTCTCTGATGATTAGTGAGGTTGAGCATATTTTTATAGGTCTACTGGCCATCTGTATGTCCTCTTTTGAGAAATGTGTGTTCGAGTCTTCTGCCCATTTTTTTAACTGGGTTAAAATGGGTACCTTTTAAACTTTTTGTAATCACAAAATCATCTCCTCAGGGATTTGATGTATTTTAATATGGACTTAAAAAGTTTCCTTTTCTTACTCACCAGACTTGAGGGCAAGAGTGGAAAGACATGGTATCTTATCAGAGAAGGAATGATTTGGGAAGAAATGTCAACATTATTATGCTACACTTGAGTATACATGCGTACCTATCTCTTCATATTTATTAATCCAGGTAATCTTTAGACCATCTCTATGAGGTAGGAAAATGAGAAGTATAGAACCAAGACAAGGGACGTTTCATAACTGAAGACTAAACTCAACTTGCATTATTCTGGGGGTAAAGAACATTCCCAAAGATAATTCTTCCCAGAACTAGAGAATCCCCATTGGATTTTATGTTGTTCCAGCTCCAGAGTGAGCAGACATCTCAGTTTGGTGCTAAGTTGGTTAACTATTGAGTGGTTTCCTAAAAGAATACTCCTGAGACAGTTATAGGAAGACCAGGTGTTGATCACCACCATAACTTTGTGGTTACATTCCGGGAGGAGCAGCAATCTTTGGGCTCTTCCAGATGGCACCTAGACCATGGGTGGGAGTGCGGTAGGGCTGGGGACAGAAAGTAGGAGGGGAATGACAGAGGTGGCAAGATTGAGTGGAAAGTAGTGAAACAGGAAGTCATTGTAGAATCCTTTTCCATCCCTTTCAATTCTTTTTTTTAAATATATTTTTATTGATTTCAGAAAGGAAGGGAGAGGGAGAAAGGGATAGAAACATCAATGATGAAAGAGAATCATTGATCGGCTGCCTCCTGCAAGTCCCACACTGGGGATCGAGCCCGCAACCTGGGCATGTGCCCTGACCGGGATCGAACCTGGGACCCTTCTGGTTCATAGGTCGATGCTCAACCACTGAGTCATGCCGGTGGGGCCCTTTCAATTCTTATCCTTAAATAGTATTTGCAGTGTTGGTAGTTGAAGATTCACCAAAAAGAAGGGAAATGGAGGCAAGGGAGATAAGTGCTCCACTATGGCTGAGGCCTGGAGATATGGCCACAGAGGTCCCCTTTCACCCAATTTTTCCAAGATGCAGGCCTTCCACCCACACAAAAACATTTTTTTCTCATATTAAGTTATCTTCCAACTTTCCCAAAATCCCCTTTTAACCCCACATCTCACACCAGCCACTGCCCATTTTTCTGTTCCACTTCATAGAAAAACCTCTTGAAAGAGCTGTCTGCTTGTACTCTTTTCTTCCTCACTTCCTATTTACTCTTCAGTCCCTGTAACTCAGCTTCTGCCCTATTTTCTTACTGTATCTGCTCTTGTCAAGTCACATTAGGCCTCTGTGTGGTCAAATCCAATGGTCTTTGTTTAGCCTTCATCTTTCTAGACAGTTTCTAACTAATCCCTCCTGTTTAAAACAGTCCCCTCACATGGCATCCTTGATACTACACCTCCTGGTTTCCCTACCTCTGGCAGCTCCTTTAGAGTCTCTATTGCTGTCTCCTCCTCTACCCAACTTCTAAATATGGAGCTCCTTATATTCTGCTCTTCTCTCTGCTCCTACTTTTCTTTTATATTTACTCTTCTCCCTGAGAGATCTCATCTACTCCCTTGGCTGTCAATACCACCTATGTGCGGTTGATGCCCACATTTATATTTTTCGTTCAGAACCCTCCTCTAGCCTCTTCACTCAGATGCTTCCTGAACATCTTATCCCAAATCTGGCCACAGCCTTGCCCCTGACGAAATCACTTCCTCCTTCAGGCAGTCTTTTCTATCTTAAATGCCATCACTCTCAGTGTTGTATGAAAGGAGAGAAGGTTAGCACTCCCCTTGACAAAGACGGAAGAGGAGCCTGGACGATGTGGTTTATTGAGCTTCGACCTATAAACCAGGAGGTTAGGGTTCGATTCCAGGTAAGGCACATGCCCGAGTTGCAGGCTCAATCCCTGGTGATGAGCATTCAGGAAGCAGCCAATTGATGATTTTCTCTCATCATTGATGTTTCTATCTCTCTCTCTCCCTCTCCCTTCTTCTCTCTGAAGTCAATAAAAATATATTTTTAAAAAGATGGAAGAGGCTTTAGAACCTAACAACATGCATATGGTTAAGGCATTGCCACCTACTTAAATGCCATCACTCTCCACCCAGGTAGTCAAGTCAGAAACCTAGCAAACATTTTGACTCTTCCATCTTCCTCACCTCATTCTATATCCAGCAAGACCTTTGGATCTATCTCAAAAATACACAGAAGCCATGCCTTTTATCCATCCCTACTACCAACTTTCTTAGCCAAACCACCATCATCTCTTACCTGTAATAGCCTTACTGGTTTCTCTACTTCTATTTTTCCCCATCCCTAAACTTTAGTCTCTAATCATCAGCTAGAGTAATCTTTTAAAAATACAAAATGGATCATGTCCCTCTCCCGTGAAAACCCTTTAAAGTTTACCTTTACTCGTGTCAACAAGGCCCTGCATGATCTGTCCCTGCTCACTCTTCAATCTCATTTCACTGTGTTTTGTCTTGACTCAACATCCTTGAGCCACATGGTCATGATGTTTCCTAGAACACCTATAATTCTTTCCCACCTAAGAGCCTCACTAGATCGCTGTTCTCCCTTTCCCCCATGCCATCTCCCACTGTCCATCTCACCTTAATCGCCATCTCCTTAGAGACACTAACTAAAAAACAGTACCCCTACAATTCTATCTAGCACCATAGACCACTATATATTTCCTTTTATCACTTATATTCTCTAATTATTATGTTTGCTTTCTTTTAGTTTTTATTTAAGATTTTTAAAAATTGATTTTTAGAGAGAAAGGAAGGGAGATAGAGAAACATCCATGTAAGAGCGAAACATTGATGGGCTGTACGCTGACTGGGAATCAAACTGGCAACCTTTCAGTGCACAGTCCTACAGCCAACCAACTGAGCCACCCGGCCAGGGCTTGTTTGTTTTCTTTCTTTCTTTTTTTAAAATATATATTTTATTGATTTTTCACAGAGAGGAAGGTAGAGGGATAGAGAGTTAGAAACATCGATGAGAGAGAAACATCGATCAGCCGCCTCCTGCACATCCCGTACTGGGGATGTGCCCGCAACCAAGGTACATGCCCTTGACTGGAATCGAACCTGGGACCTTTCAGTCCACAGGCCGACGCTCTATCCACTGAGCCAAACCAGTCAGGGCTGTTTTCTTAATTAACTTTCCTAACCACATCTTATCTACCTTACCCAATTAGAATGTGATTTTCCTTATTTTCAAAACAGGCACTCAATATATTACCTAATGAGTAAATGAATGATTACCTTTAATATAGTCGTCATGAAGACTGAGCAGCCCATCAGCACAAAAATCATAAGGCCTGTCACTCTCTGTTCTCGGATGCCCAAGAACTTGGGCTGTTCTCCAGGAGCGGAGCACTCAGATTCCAGTTTGAGGCTGTTCACATGTGTGATGGACAGGACAGTTGCAGCCACAAACCAGGGCAGGCCCATGATGGAGCAGACACCCAACATGATGGCCACCATTAGCAGGTCCAGGTGGTAACCACAGCCTTTCTGTAGGGAAAAAGAGTCTCCATCACCATCAGTCGGGCATAGAACAGTGAGCTAAGAGTATTCCAGCCCCTTCTGGTTTGAAGGGAACAGAGGAAAAAAAGGAAACTTTAGCTTGTCCAAAGCATGCCGATATCCATTCTTTATGCAAGTGCTCTTACACATTCAAATATTCTTTTCTTGGAAAAGTAACCAGAGATCAAGCCACATCTTGACCATTCTAGATGGTAGACATTATAGGGGTTGAAGATAAATGTCCTTATTGGTTTCCAGATCCTTGCTAAATTTGCGTTGCCTACTCTAAGTAAGGAAAGTACAGAGATGAACACATTAAGCCTCTCACTAATACATACACTGGAACTTACCTTACCTCTGTAGGATCCTTGAACTTAAGGTTCAGTCTAGAAACACCGGTAATGGACAGCAATGAGAGAATACCTGCCTCGAGGAAACAGTGGACCAAGTCCTGACCTGAACTTCAGGAGATAAGCCTGACCCAGAGCATGTGGCTAAGGACCACTAGGAACTCTGCCAGCCCAGCTTCCCCATAGGTTTGAAAAGAGAGTAGTGGAGTCCAAGCTTCTTTTGTATCATACCATTTGGCTCCACTCTAGGGATGGTAAACCCCTAGAAACCTCTTATGAGATCCTTCCATGACTTCTTTTATCCAGGTTCTACAGTTCCTGGTCTAAATAGTTTACCCTAAAGTTTTTTAAAAAATGTAATAGGATGCCATTAATCCTTCTAGGTCAGAATTTCTTGTTACCTTGAGCTTGTGTTCCTTCCTGTTAATGATAACAGCTGTGATCTGCTGGTCCATGAATATTAAGATAGTGCAGAGTAGAGCTGGGATAATTGCAGCTATCACAGTCCACCAGGGATTGGGGCCAATGGGACTAATAATCCACCCTCGATCATCCCTTGTTGGCTAAAGGAAAAAACAAGGTTTTATTTTTATATTTTAAGTTAACTATAATCATTAGGGCAAAACAGGTCAAACTGAATCACAGTATCTATAACTCTTTTATTCCTGAATAAGAATCCTTAAAAAAATAATAATAATAAGGCATTAATATAGAAACTCTTTTTTTTTTTTAGTATAAGCTCTATATACTTGAAAGACAGATTTTTACACATTTCCCTTACCAAGTTCTCTTTACCTACATGCATATATGCTTCCTTATCTTCAGTTACACTCAAGGTATTCTGTGTGATTCTATTTAAAGCCAGCCTATCCAATTCTGCATCTGATTCCCTGGCCTCATACTTACTTAAGAACTTCTAACTTTCGTTTTGCCACACTCTTGGTTCTTCATTTTTTCCTTTCTACCAAAGCACTCCACTCAGACATAATTATTTTATAACTAGAGGCCCGATGCACAAAATTCGTGCATGGTAAGGTCCCTAGGCCTGGTCAGTGATCAGGGCTGATCTGTGGGGCGACTAGCGGGATGACTGGGCCCCCGCTGGCACTCGCCTTGACCAACTAGTGCAGGCCACTTGCCGGCCCTGCCCCCTGCCGCTGCCGCCAGTCCCCTCCCTCTGCGGGGGCGACCAGCAGGGCAACCATGGAGTGGGGGCCCCCACTGGCACCTGCCTTGGCTGGCCTGGGGCCTGCAGGCTGGGGGCAGCTCCTGTGTTAAGCGTCTTCCCCCTGATGGTCAGTGCGCGTCATAGCAACCGGTCATTCCACCAGTCGTTTGGCTGTTCAATTTGCATATTGGGCTTTTATTATATAGGAGGATGTCTAATACTTAAAGAAAACTCTCATCTGCTCCTCATGCATACTCCAGAAACTACCCCATCATTGTGTTCTACTCTGCAATATTGTAGTGTACAGCAACTCTTTAGGAAATCTATGACCTTGATCAGAGTCGATCCTCAATTATCAACTTCTTATGGAATACTCAATAGTTCCTCACTTCCTTCTCCTACTCTCCAAACCCCTATGTATAGAGAAAACAAATTTATCTCAACATTAACCCAAGTAAAATATAATTAACAAAAAAATTTTTTGTCCAGTATAATTTAATAATTTCTAACAATAAATATAAATAATTTTGACTCTCTTCCTCCTGAAGCCATATAATGGATGTCTACAGGACAAATAAAGGCAAAGTAGAGCCAGTTGCACAGAATCTCATGGACTTAGCTTGGAATGGTTTAGGGGCCTTCTCCCATCAGCATTGAAACAGGAGCCCAGGCACTATAAACTTGAGAGAGGAGACAGAAGGAAGCTAGGTAGTCAAGAATTGGGATCATGGTGGTGGGGAGGAAGTAGAACCAGGAACCCAGCTAGGTGGAGTCACTAAGGCACCCCAACTGGGCAGGGAAGGAAGGGTACACTTGGGAGACATGAGCTTTAAAATGTATGAATGTTGCTAAGATAGGCAGCTTGCAGATAACCAATCACAAGACAATGAGGCCTATAACCAATCCCAAGGATATTATCAAGGCAGAATTATTTGAAAGGACCAATCAGGAGCTAGCAAGACTGTAAACTGTATCCACCCCCTAAATTAAAAAGCGCTTGCTTCTTTCTCTCTTCTCCCTGGTGTGCTGGGTCCCAGGGGGATGCTTCCCTGTGCCCACGTGGCTTATGGCCATGTGGGGCTCTACACATGGATTAATATACTTTAACACCTGGCTGTAATATGTAAAGGAAGTTCTGGACACTGGTCTGCTCCTGGAACCCTAGCTGTACCTTTTCCAGGACTGGCTTCTCTCTATAAACTTTGCTTCCGTTAACCGTTTTAGTCTGCGAATCCATTCTTTGGTTTTATGAGACAACTAACTCAGACTCAAACACCCTACAATTTGGTTTCACTAAGACTGCTGAATCTGGGTACTTGTTTGACCCTTCTAATGCCCCTGTAAATCCACACTGTTCATAAATCTTATTTGGGTGTTCATGGCATACCTAAACTCTCCTAGAACCTCAATCTGCCTCGCCCTTCCAAAGTACTCTGAGGAAGAAAAGTTCACCTTGTTTGGCTCAGCAGTAATCCTATATAATAAAAGGCTAATATGCAAATAGACCAACACACCCTCACAAAGATGGTGGCGCCCACAGTGGGAGCAGGGCAGGCTGCTCCATGCCTGCATCCCCCACTGACTGAGGCTCAGGCAAGGCTTGGATAGTGGCTGCCCAGCCACGCAGGTCCAGCCCAAGGCTCAGGCAACCAGGGCCAGCCGAGGCTTGTGCTGCCAGCAGTGGCAGCAGCAGAGGTGTGATGGGGATGTCACCTTCCCCTGTTCAGCGGGTTGCTCCCATCCCTGAAGGCTCCCAGACTGTGAGAGGGGGCAGGCCAGGCTGAGGGACACCCCCCTCCAGTGCATGAAATTTCATGCACCAGGCCTCTAGTCCTATATAATAAAAGGCTAATATGCAAATAGACCGAAAGGTAGAACAACTGGAACAACCAAACAACTGGTCGCTATGATGTGCGCTGACCACCAGGGGGCGTGTGTGGAACATGGCAGGTATTGGCAGCTGCAGGATGGTGGAGCAGATGAGCGGGAATGCCAGACCAAGGCAGAGCGCTGGTCGCTGTCATCAGGGCTAGCCTCTGGTGGTTCCTGAAAATTCTTTGCTCCCCCTCGCCATGGTCTCACCTGGCACTCGCACCCACTGCCAGCACTGGCCTCACTTGCACCCGCAGCCGGCACTGGAGCCGCCGCTCGCACTCACTGCCAGTTCCTGGCACCGGTCCCGATCACTCAGCACCATCAGTGGGTGCAAGTGGTGGTTGCCGGCCTGAATCGCCCCTAAGGTCTTCTCCACCTCCCCACCTCCCTGCTCCTGAGGGGCGATCAGGGCAGCAGCTGCTGCACACACCCGCTGCTGGCACCGGCCCCAATCGCTCCACGCCAACAGTGGGTTCGAACGGGGCGGCGCTGTCAGCAGGTGGGAGCGGAGGCAGCAGGAGCGGGGCTGCTGGCAGATAGGAGACCAGGGGCCGCGGCAGGAGGGCCCAGGTGGGGGCACGGAGGATGGACTGAGACCTGCCCCTGTGCCTACCACAGCCTTGCAGCCCACAGCTCCTTTCAAGGTTCATGAATTCGTGCACTGGGCCCCTAGTGGAGTATAAAGGCCCAGGATACAAACTGGCCCAGAATTGACCCAAACTCAACAAAGCCAAGACTGTTATATCTAAGTATTTGGTTCCATATTTGGTCATGACTCTAGGATTCAAAGACTCTTCAATGATGTCACCAAGTCCCAAATTATAAATGGGTTAGATTATAAAAGTTTACAAAATCTTTTAGTCTCCTTAATAATAATGTTCTAAGTGGTAATTAAATTGTCAGGCCAATACAAAAACTTATTAAACTCTGACTGACATTAAGCCATTAGTAATAGTACTAACCTACAGATTGGGTCTTGGGGGCTATGTGGAGTAATAGGAAAGGGAAAAAGAAAGAATATTTCCTCTCTGGTTCCTGAAAGCAAGGCCTGCCAATGAACATTTTCTTTGATATTCTTCCATTTCCCTTTCTCATCTTTCTTCCATCTCCCAGAGACCTTCTTCCCAGATGTCCCAGGAATTCAGTGCCTTCTGACTATATTAAGCCTACCCATCAGGGAACCATTTCAAGGACTATTTAATGCTCCCAAATTACTTATTTTTATGCAAAATTCATTCCTCCTGCAGAGTTGACCTGAGCTAGGTAAGAGGGAGAGGTAACTGAAAAAGTGAGAATGACATATTATTGGAAGTATTACAGTTTTAAAGAGGGTGTTTTTTAATCCATAAATTTCTAACTGGTGGCATTTCAGCAAATTTACCAAAATACAATACAAAAATTTCAGGCCTATTTTAGGCAGAGAAAGGGGAGACAAAGGTCATTATAAGTCAAAGACTTCCTTTATTCCTATCTTCCTTTTCCTCCCCATCCTCTCATTATATAATTCTTCTCCAGTCACTGAGTATAGCCAGGTTTTTTTCTCCTCTCCACCTTGTGGGATCTATGGAGCTGAGTTCAGCTTTTCCATCTTCTCTATTTACTTAGTCAGTGTCCCCAAACAGAATTAGATTTGAAGTCCCACATATTGATCATTTACTTTACTTTTTATATAGGTGTTTGGGAAAATATTATAGATTATAGAGAGTTATGCAAACAATGAAATAGGGTTGAAGACATGTCATGGTTACTCTGGCAGAAGCCCTAGGCTGTGGATGAGGCACCTTCGCTAGCTCACCTCCTCACCTGGCAAGATCCGTTAGGTAGGACTAAGTCCTACATTTACCTTTCTCACCCTTCCCAGTGGCCTCATACAGTTGGTGCTCAATGAAAGTGCCATTAACCAGACTTGTGCCAGAGACCCACATTTCCACACTAACTGGTATGCATTAATGTAAATGTGCACATTCTAGTGATTTAAACCTTAACATTCAAAACAGTTAAGTGGCAGACTTCTGGTCAAGATGGCAGCATAGGGAAATGTGGTACTTGCATCCTCCCACAACCACATCCAAATTACAACTAAACTATAGAACAACCATCATTCAGACCACCTGAAATCTAGCTGAATGGAAGTCCTAAAACTAGGGATTTAAAGAAGGCACATCGAAACTGGTAGGAAGGGCAGAGATGATGAGTGGGCTAGTACAACACCCACGTGTGGAAAATGAACATCAGAAGGGACATCTTGGTTGTGGAGGAACACCCTGAGGAGTGAGGGGTTCCAGCCTCACACCAGGCCCCCAGTGTGAGGGTTCCGGAGCTGAGAAATTCCATAATATCTGGCTGTAAAAAACAGGAGGAATTGAGTTGAGTGAGATGAAGGGCTGCTGGAGTCCCAGGAAGTTCCTCTTAAAGGGCCTGTGCACACACTTACTCTGACTCACTCTTCTGAACTCCAGCACTGGGATAGCAGCTCAAAAGGCACCAGGGACATTAGGGGAGGAACTGAGTGTCTGCCATCAGGCTGAGAATTGGGGGCACAACTTTCTCTCAGACAAAAGTGCTGGCAAATGCCATTGTTCCTTTGATGAGCCCTCCCCCAACAGAGCCAGCAAGCAAGCACCATATTTGAGACTCTGTCAACCTGGCTATCACTGTTTGCCCTGCCATGGCAATTCCTTGCGACCCCACCCCACCAAACTTTTAGGCACACCCAAGCTGTTTCCAGTGCCTTTCCATATGAATGACATGTCTTGGCTTGTGCTTCAGACTTTCCCAAAATATCTCAAACAAATAGCATTTGGCCTCAGTATGCCCCATACCTCTCCCTAAGTGGCCCCAGGCCCCAGGCCACCATGGTTCACAGCTTGGCCTCTCTTGGGCTGTGGTTCTCAGCTTGGCCTCTCCTGGGCACCTCCAAGCCCAGTACAAGTAGCATCCAGTTGCAGATTGCTTGGTAGCTAAAGCCAGGTGACCCTGGACAGAACACAGGCAGGGGCTGACCTTGGCCTGCATCTTCCGGTAGGCCCCAAAGCTAGCCCCTGGTAGACATCTTCAGACCAGGTCAAAATACCACTCAACCAGCTTCACAGGGGCAAACTCAGTGGGCACCAGAGCCCCACTGAAATAAGTCCTGCTCTGTGAGGTGGGCCCCTGCACAGCTGATCCTCCACAATAATTGGTGGGCCCAGCCAGTCCTTGCAGCAGATTGGCGTGGGGGTAAATCCCTCCCATTGATATGCCAACTGTAATCAAGGCTCAACTACAACAGGAGGATGTACACAGCCCACATTGGCGGGGGGTGGGGGGTGGAACGCAACTGGAGTGCTCAGCTTGGGTGATCAGGTAGGCTGTGTCACTAAACTGTACAGGACACCTACTATATTAGGCCACTCTACCAAGACTGGGAGACATAGAAGCTCTACCTAATACATAGCAACATACACATGGAGGCTGCCAAAATGAGGAGACAAAGAACACATTCCAAATGAAAGAACAGAACAAAACTCCAGAAAAAGAACTAAACAAAACAGTGACAAGCAATCTACTAGATGCAGAGTTCAACATACTAGTTATAAGGATGCCCAATGAACTTAGGGAAGGAGTAGCTGAACTTAGAGAGAACATCAACAGTATTAAAAAAGACATGAAAACCATAAAAAAGAATGAGAAATGAAGGATACACTAACGGAAATGCAGAATATTACAGGGAATCAACAGTAGAGTAAATGAAGCTGAAAATCAAATCAGCAATTTGGAATATAAGGGAGCAAAAAAACAACAACACATACACAAAAACACCCAATCAGAAGAGCAAAAAGAAAAAAGAATTTAAAAAAATGAAGATAGTGTAAGGAGCCTTTGAAAAACCTTCAAGCATTCCAATATTCACACCATGAAGGTACCAGAAAGAGAAGAAAGCAAACAATGGAAAACCTATTTGAAAAAATAATGACAGAAAACTACCCTAACCCAGTGAAGGAAACAGACATATAAGTCCAGGAAGTACAAAAAGTTCCAAACAAGATGAACCCAAAAAGGCCACACCAAGACACATCATAATTAAAATGCAAAACATTAAAGACAAAGAGAAAATCTTAAAACCAGCAAGAGGAAAGCAGTTAGTTACCTACAAGGTAGCTCCCATAAGACTGTCAGCTGATTTCTCAACAGAAACTTTGCAAGCCAGAAGGGATTGGCAATAAATATTCAAAGTGATGAAAAATAAGGACCTACAACAAGATTACTCTATCCTGCAAAGTTATAATTTAGAATCAAAGAACATATAAAGAACTTTCCCACCCAGTCACTGTGGCTCAGTTGGTTGAGCACATTCCCATGAACCAGGAGATCACAGTTCAATTCCAGTCAAGGCACATGCCCAGGTTGTGGGCTCGATTCCTAATAGGGGTCGTGCAGGAGGTAGCCAATTAATGTTTATTTCTCATCAATGTTTCTATCTCTCTATCTCTCTCCCTTCCTCTCTCTGAAATCAATAAAACCATATTTTTTTTAAAAAATTTTTTAAAAGAACTTCCCAGACAAAGAAAAGCTAAAGGACTTCATCACCAGCAAACCAGTATTACATGAAATGTTAAAGGGTCTTCTTTAAGACAAAAAAAAAAGGAAAAAAAGATAAAAAACATGAACAATAAAATGGCAATAAATGCATATCTATTAACAAATGAATCTAAAAAAAAATGAAGAAGCAGAACAGAAACAGACTCATAGATACAGAGAACATTTTGATGGCTGCCAGATGGGAGAGGAGTTGGGAGGATGGGTGAAAAAGATGAAGGGATTAAAAAGTACAAATTGGTTATTACAGCATAGTCATGGGGATGTAAAGTACAGCATAGAGAATATAGTTAATATTCTAATAACTATGTATGATGTCAGATGGGTACTAGATTTATCGGGATGATCACTTAATAAGTTATATGTCTAATCACTGGGATGTATACCTAAAACTAATATAATATTGTATGTCAACTATAATAAAAAATGAACAAAACAAACTGGTGTACAAAATAGATCCAGAAGCATGGAAGCATGGAACAGACTGACGAATCTTAGAGGAAAGGTGGGGAGGGGGGGTCTGAGGGGGGAAGAGATTAACCAAAGAACTTATATGCATATAAGCATAACACTTAAACACAGACAATAGTGCCATAGGCCTGGCGGTGTGGAGGGTAGAGGGAGTCAATGGGGGGAAAAGGGGAACATCTGAAATACTTTCAACAATAAAGGTAAATTTTAAAATAAATTAATTTAAAAATAAAACAGTTGAGTTGCATTAATGATAATAAAAAATACTTTTTGTTCATTAAATGAACTGAGGCTTGCTCCTTTCTGACTTGAACCTAGCCAAGCCTGACGAGCTCCCTTTTCTGAAAGTAAGGCATAAAGAGCACAGTTCATAGAGGACTGAAAAACTCAGGATTTGGGGTATGGAAAGAGGCCTTTGAAATTAACTCCAAAGCAGATCCTATGAAATTATATGAGGCACCAAGTGCCCTGAGATCTGTTTACCTTGAACACACTTGGAACTTGAAGTTTTGGTGATGGGACTCCAATCAAAAAATCAATAATCACCATTGTGAAGATTGTGAGGAAAACGGCAAAGTCACTCACCATGGAGCGGACCTGGCATGCAAAAGAATTAGAAAAGTGTTTTAGTAGGTTGAATGCAGTAGGAAAGAATTTAATATTGTAAAAGTTTTAAAAATCCTGAGGAGAATGCTTTAATTTTATACTTGAATTAATACAAGCATATTTAAATAACAGGAATATGTTAATATGCCCAAGTTAATGCCTCCACCAAAACCCCGAAATGGTTGCTCATTTCACTGAGTTAAAAACCCAAAAGGCCCTCTTGGCCTATGAGGCCCCCACTCACTGACATCATTACCTCTCTGAACCCAGCTCCTAATGCTCTCTGCTTGCTCACTCTGCTCCAGCACACAGACCTCCCTGCTGTTTCTTAAACATGCCAGACTCACTCCCACCTGAGTCTTTGAACTTACTCATCCTTCTATCTCGAATGTTTTTTCTCCAGTAATCTCTTGGGTCGCTCCCTTACCTCCTTTATGCTCACCCAAATACAACCTTCATGAGATCTTCTTTGATGACCCTACTTAAAATTGGTTGCCACCTGCCTCCTCAGCTCTTCCTATACTCCTTTCCTGCTTTATTTTTCTCCATAGCATTTATCACCGTTTTTTCCTAAGAGGACTAACCCACTTTATAGTTTAGTGTAGCTTTAATAAATACAATGTGCCTGAAATGCTCAGTGCCTGTCTTAAGCTAAACTTCCAACAGAAATAGAGCAAAATACATCTCAGCCATGTTTAACATCACTACTACCTGAACCTGACTTTGCTTTCCTTTGAAACCTGAGTTTTCCAGCTCCCCCTCCCTGGTTTTGTTAGTTCTCCTCTGAATGTTACATAAATTCTCTGAACATGTAGCTGTCCCCACCATGAAGCCCATCTTGACCATCCTGGGGCCCAGTGACTCTTCTCTCCTCTGAACTCCTATGGCACTTACATCCAACTCTTTACTACTGTCTCATATGACCTGGTTGTTTCATATGTTTCCACTTCCTATCCAATCTTTTGCATCCCCTACAGCACTTAACCACACCTGAGCTGGTAGTCAGTACATAACTGCCATTTGTTCACTGTTTGTCCAGACTGGAAACAATGACCCAGAGCATATCTAGTATGTATCTCCTTAATTACTGTGTAGATCCACTGAAGTCTAAGAATGTTTTAGTGATGTATGTGTGTACAGTAAATATCCAATCAACTGACCCCTTTCCCTATTCATACATCCTGCTCTGCAAACGTGCCTGATTGAAACCTCACAGAAAAACCACCAATTCCTCCTGATTCAAGCTCCTTTTCAAAGCAATAGCCCCTTCAGCCACTCTAAACTTGGCCTGTAATTCTGTCCTACCATAACTGGGCATGACAAACAGTGTCAGCTGCATCAGGGAGAGCTTGTTGAGGCTTCAAACAGTCAGGCAAACCAAGTCAGGAGCGTTCTCACTGCTGGAGTCAATTTAACAAGTGATTTCACAAGCTATTACAAGAGCCATTCCTGAGAGGAGACTTTGGGACTCCCTACCTAATCCAAAGCAATCATCCCAATTAATTACATTAAGTAGCCAGCCCTATTTATTGCATTCTAGAAATAAAACTTAATAGCATTCCAGAAATGAGACTTAGTAGCTGTTAGAGAACACTACTCCACCTTAAACTCACCTGTGCTTTTAAATCAAAAATCTTTTACATATATTAACTCCTCATTCCACACCACACATTTATGAAAGGGGCTGTTGGTCATTAGAAGAAGAGATGCTGCAGTGTGGCTCATCAGGACATTTAGAACTCTCCACCTGCCACTCTACTCAGCAAGCAGCATGGAGGCTGAGATGAGGCTGTTATATTAGAACTAGAGGCCTGGTGCATGACATCTGTGCACTGGGAGGAGAGGGGGTGTCCCTCCGTCCAGCCTGCACCCTCTCACAGTCCGGGACCCCTCGGGGGATGTCTGCCTGCTGGCTTAGGCCCGCTCCCCATGGAGCCAGCTGTGAGACCGGCTCAGGGCTTCTGGCTGAGTGGGGGAGAGCACTGACCACCAGGAGGTAGCTCCTGCATTGAGCGTCTGCCCCCTGCTGCTAAGTACATGTCATAGCGACCAGTCGTTCCACCATTCTGTCAATTTGCATATTAGCCTTTTATTATATAGGATTCTAACACAAAAGAAATGTATGAATATGCTACTTACTCTGGTTGGGAAATAGCGGCTTGTCTTAAATGTCTTTAAGGTGCTTGAAAGGATGAAGGTGGTGAAGAAGAGAATGCAGGACCAAAACAGCACATCAGGAGTATAGGGTCCATGATGGCCACATGCAGGTCCTGTGAACTCTCCATGCATCTCCTGGCATTCCTGGAGAAACAAACATTCTGGATAATGAAAAGCAGGCCGGAGGGAGAAACTAGAGGCTGCCTTCTGAGTCCACCACTCACTGTGATCCTGCAACTGCTGGGTAGCATATGCTGCCAGCAGCATTAACCTTCATGTAGTTGTGCAGGTTTCACTTGCATAGGCCCCTTCCAGGTAGGGTGACTACTTATGGTCTGAACTAAGACATTTTTAAAATATATATTTTTTTCATTGATTTCAGAGGAAGGGAGAGGGAGAGATAGAAATATCAATGATTAGCGAGAATCATCGATTGGCTGCCTCCTACATGCTCCCTAGTGGGGACTGAGCCTGCAACCCAGGCATGTGCCTTGCCCAGAATCAACCCAGGACCTCCTGGTTCATAGGTCAATGCTCAACCACTGAGTCACACTGGCTGGGCCAAACTAAGACACTTTTGAAAATGAAACCAGAACTGTTTCAAGAAAATACAAGGTTCTAAGAGGGCCCTAGCAATTTGTACTATTTTTATTACAGAGGCCTTGCTGATTTGAATGTCCTTCAAGCTCCATAAAACCTAGATCTGCTCCCCAACCCTGCCTGGTTTCATCCCCACATATCTTTAGTGCAGGGTCACTGGATAGGGGGTAGCTATTGCATGTGAGAGAGAAGTAAGAAATAGTATTATTTATCTTTATGTGCAAGACAATTTTGAAGGGGGGGGTCAGTAAGAACAGTTTAAAAGAAGAAAAATATTTTATTTCTGTAAATGTCAGAGCTTGCTAAAGGGCTACCCACTTCTACCTAGAAGACTCCCTTAAACCTGGCAGTCACAATGCTAGGCCATCTGGCAGCTCCCAGACTTACAGTAACAGTCAGGTTAGCCCAGTGGACTTCTGTTGTCACGATGTTTTGGTCCTTCCAATACTGTAGTGTGTGATTGTTTGGATTCTCTGGGACAGTACACCTGCAGCTGGAGGGGGGAAAAAGATTCCTGAGGAAAGCAGCCAACTATTCAATAGAATATTTTTAGCCATGACTGGGCTAAAGGCTTTAGTATCAGAGCCTGCTTTGCTTCTCCTTTGCACACTTCAGATTCCTGAGGTTGGTTCTACTGGATGAGGCCCAACCACACCCTGGTTTTTCAGTCAGTCATTAATAAAGATGGACTCAAATCAGTGTGTGGGTCTTGGATTCTATTGTATTGACAACCAAGCTTAGCATCTGATGCACTCAGAATGAGCCCTAGTGGTTTCTTAGTTTCTATCTCTTAGGCTTGTCCTGTGGAATTCAATCTACATAGCAAGGAAGACTTGATAACCCACTCTGCGCCCAACAGTTTTCTCTAAACCTGGATGATTTTCTCCCTATAACCGTCACATTATTGCTCTAAAATTCAGTCTCCCAGAATTGTGATGTAAGCTCTTCCTAACACTGTGTCATCCCTGGTAATCCACTATCTTGGCCATTCCCTGGCTTCCCAGGTCTCTTCCTCTATCTAAACCAGACCAGACCAGACCTGTCCCACTGGCCACCATGCTGCCTCCAAGTCTCAGCATGCTTCATGCCTGAAATGGCTCCCTGTACATTCAACTGACATAGCCATTCCCACCACTTTCATTTCATATAAGCGGGGAGCATACCTAAGCTGCAGTCAGACATCCTTAGCACTGCTGAGGAGGCAGGAGAGGCTCCCACCACCACTGCTGTACTGGCAGCCATCAGCCTGGCTTGTGGCTGAGCAGAGCTCCCCCATGTGGGAGTGCCCTGACCACCAGAGGGCAGCTCCTGCATTGAGTGTCTGCCCCCTGGTGGTCAGTGTGTGTCATAGTGACCAGTCATTCCCAGTCTTTCTGCTGTTAGGGTCAGTTTACATATTACCCTTTTACTATATAGGATAGAGGCCTGGTGCACGGGTGGGGGCCGGCTGGTTTGCCCTGAAGGGTGTCCCAGATCAGGGTGGGGGTCCCATTGGGGTGCCTGGTCAGCCTGGGTGAGGGGCTGATGGCTGTTTGCAGCTGGTCACACCTCCTTCAGGGTGGGGGTCCCCACTGGGATGCCTGGCCAGTCCATATTGTATGATTTTGCCAAACTGTATGACGTTGTGGAAAAGGCAAAACCATGGAGACAGTGTAAAGATTAGTGGTTGCCAGGGATTGGGGTGGTAGGGTAGGATGAAAAGGCAGAGTACAGAGGATTTTTAGGACAGTGAAACTACTCGGTATAAAACTACAATGATGGAATGCTCTTATACATTTGTCAAAACTCACAGAATGTGTAACACCAAGAGTGAACCCTAATGTAAACTATGGACACGGGGTAATAATGATGTATCAATGCAAGTTCATTGATTACAACAAATGTACCACTTTGGTATGGGAAAGTGATAGTGGAAAAAGTTATGCATATGTGGGAGCAGGAAGGTATATGGGAACTCTCTGTACTTTCTGCTCATTTTTGCTGTGAACCTAACTAAAACTGCTCTTTAAAAGAAATTATATTTTAAAAAATCAGTTCCACACATATAAACATAAAATCATTTAAAGAGTTGGAAAGTTCTAGCTTCTCATCAGCTCCATATGAACCAACAGTAGAATGCAAATAATAAAAATACCATTTGAGCTTTATTAACAAAGAATTACAGTATCCAGACCCAAAGTCTACTCAGTGCAGGGCTGATTACTTTTGTCTGTTGTCTCCCACTTAGATATAAGTCTCATGAGGATAGATCCTTTTGTCTATCATATTCATCGCTTTTTCCAGGGCCTAAAACAGTGCTGGCACATAGTAGATGATCAGCAAATACTTGTTAAATAAATAAATTATAAAAAAGGTCAAAGAATGAACTTACTCCACTGCCAATGGGCAATTCAGAGCTCCAATGCCAACTGACAATCCACTAGGCTTCAAAGATTACACTCCCTAATGGTGGTTATTTTGTGATAAAACAATTTTTATAAATTCTAATAAATTTTGTATAAATTTTGATTTTTTAGGTTGATGAACAGATAACTAGAATCTATAAAAGTGTATCTATTGATAGTTAGCAGACACCTCCATGCAGTGCGCTCTATCTACCCAGGCAGTTTCAGGTTGAAATTGTCCACTTCACAACCAGACCCTCCAGATCAGAACTGTACAGCCAGAAGGGATGGAATTTGAGGCACAGAACTAAAGGATGAAAGTCTTTAGTTACAATTTGGAGAATACTATTCCAGAGAAGAAATGTTGTATAGGACCAGACTCTTCTTAAAGGTTGAAAACACAAATACTGTGTTTCTTTTCTAGCTGAACCAAACTATGTTGAACATGTGAAGAAAACACAGTCTCTTTAGTTGAAATCTAGGTAAGTAAATAATTTCTAGATGCAGTATCTTGATAACATGGTCCCAGGATCTCACAAGTCCCTACAAAAAGTAGTTCTTCCCAACAACTAAACTGAATTATCCCTGCTGCTTTAGCAGCCTATTTTTGTCTCAATGCCTGGAACCAAAAGACATGCTTGGAAAGCATTTCTCAACTCCCATCTGAGTTTCACTCTTAGTCCATCTTCTCTGTCATCAATGTTGACTGTTCTCCTCTAGCAGGAGTCTCCACATCCATATCTGAGCTCTGTTTCCCAAAGGGCCAAGATAGTTCCATCACAGAAGCTGTAAGCACTGCCTAGCATACTATATCAGTCATTAAACTCAGGCCCTTTGCTCAATTTTAAAAAAAAGACTTGCAGAAGCATACTTACTAATACAGGCTAAGGTGGTCCAGCTGGCTGTGCATGTGGATGGGGTAGGTCTCTGCCAGGTGAATCAGCTTTTCTATTGCTTCATAGATGAAAATTATGCAAATTAAGGAGGCAAATGCTTCTTCAGTGAAGCGAGTAATGTAGCAGACAAGGGAACTGGCATCAGTTGCCACAAGAACAATACATAGGAAGGCGGTCCACAGTCCAATACAAGCACGCAAGGAGAGGTATGAAAGAGCATAGTCTCTGAAACAAGACAAAAGTTCATCAAAAAACATGGAGGGATGGCATTCAGAGACAAAGGGTCAGAAATATGGTTAATTCATCTCATTTTATCTGTACCAGTATTGCAACCCAATTTCTCCCGAATTCTGGCTGTGTTTCACTTTTAAATGCTGCCTTGGGACAGTCGTGACAAAGATTTGCTTCATGGGTGGTATCTGCTACGCAAGAACATGGAAAATGGAGAAATGTCCCACACACATTTCTGCCATCACTGCCCAATGTGATTAAGATCTTATTATTGCAGTTAAGACCAAAAAGCTGGCCCAGCTGGTTTGGCTCAGTGGTTGAGCATCAACCTGGAGGTCACGGTTCGATTCCCAGTCAGGGCACATGCCCATGTTGTGGGTTCAATCCCCTGTAGGGAGTGTGCAGGAAGCAGCTGATCAATGAGTCTCTCATCATTGATGTTTCTCTCTCTCTCTCTCCCTTTCTCTCTGAAATCAATAAAAAGGTATATATATAAAAAAGTTACATAGCTCTTGTTCCATATGCTCCTATTTCTAATACAAAAGTCTATTTAAAAAGCAGTTCTAGGAAAAGTAGGGAAATTAGGGCATTGCAATCAGAATATAAAAGGATATATTAGGCCAAATTTAAAACTGACTTGAAATGGAAATGGGAAGAGTCTGAATTAGCGAGGGAAAGTTTTTTTAAAGATAAAGTGAAGGTGTGGCTCAGTCGGTTGGAGCGCTGTCCCATACACCAAAGACTGCCGGTTTGATTCCTGGTCAGCTCACATACCTAGGTTGCAGGTTCAATCCTCACTGGGGGTGCGTACAGGAGGCAACCAATCGATGTTTCTCTCTCCCTCCCCCTCTCTCTAAAATCAGTAAAAACATATCCTCTGGTGAGGATTAAAAAAAAAAGACTAAGAAATCTGCTGTTTTAGGTACAGTACTACTTGGAGGCAGGACAATAGACCAAATGATGTTGATTCTTCAGGTTTTTACTGTCAAGAATGATGTTTGCTTACTTATACATATGAGACCCTGGCATTCAAGCCTAACAACCCAATAACACATCCATTAGAGTTTTCAGTAAACCAAATGTCTTACTTGCAGAATTTGAACAAAATCTTTTCAAACACAAGCACTGGCCCAGTGCTTCCCAGGATGGTGAGAGCCTGTCCTGCAAACAAGGAATAGGCAATCCCAGTCATGGAGGCTCCGAACAAGGATTCAATTGCACTCTGAGAGGAAAAAAAAATCATCACTGAGTCCACAGCCCGTTGCAATGAGTAATGTGGGCTTATGTACATTCCTGACTTAGTTCTCATGTGCGCCCCAACGAATCATCTGCTTGTATTTCATCTTAGCAAGAGTGATATGTACACACTGTCTAATACTCCTGTAAATGGCATCACTTTGATAATTCAGAAGCCCAAATCCATCTACATATGGTTCCTTAACTAAGTCCTGTTCTGCAGTGACTCACTTCAGTATTTAACAGATTCAGAAAGCACAGTGATACCATTCACACAACGATCTGTCATACAGAGTCACCTAAATCTTATTTTTAAATGACATTAATATATTATTTTCCATCCTTGGGGCAACAGGCAATTCAACTGGGCGATCAGCTACAGAAATTGATATTCAAGCAGAAGTGAGTCTGCTCTAAAGCAAGAACTGTGTTGCTGCTTGGTATGAAATCAGAATACATAGTAATTCAACAGAAAGACTCTGGTGTCCTTAGTCCTAGCCCAGGCAATTTCTCCCCCAGTGGACGTGCCAGCCACCACAATATGTTGTATCTTCTTTGGGACCATGAGTAGTGGTTAAAAGTTCTTACTATGCGTCCCTCAGTGGCTTCTCCAAGCAATCCCCCAAAGGTGATGACAGGTGACATGCAGGCACAGTACAGGAACAGAAAGGAGGCCAAACACTGTAAGCTGAGTGCGTCCTGGTAGTCGCTCCAGTACCAAGGGGCCTTCCGCTTGATGTCCAGCACCAAGCCTCCAAAGAGCCTGTGGGAACACAGCAGACAGGCCTCTAGCACAGTCCCTCTTTCAGAGAAGCATGTGAACAGCACACATTTAAAAGCACTTCAAATGTGCTCTGCCCGGAGGTAGTACTTTGGCTTCAATTTGACCCCAAGTACAAGACTCAGTTGCACTCTGAGAGGGAAAAAATATTATCACAGAGTCCACAGCCCGTTGCAATGAGTAATGTGGGCTTATGTACATTCCTGACTTTGTCCTCATGTGCAAACCAAAGAATCATTTGCATGTATTTCATCTTAGCAAGAGTACCGTCTGGGGTCAGTACAGACTCTGTTTGCAACCAAGATCATGAATGTGAATGGTTACCCTACGCATAAAAAGAATTAATTGAGTGTGTATATTACCCATTCAATAGAAAGTTCCAAAAAATTAACGTGAAGTTATTAGTTTCAAACTTCAAATTTGAGCTGTTATGAGGAAATGTGCAAAACTAATTCAAAGAATTAAATTGTTAGTTTTATTACATATTTTCTAGATAAAAAGCCTCTTTCACATTCATTTTTCTACTCTGAACAACTACCTACCTTATGCTTGAGAAATTAGCATAATAATTCATTCATGCAGTTGATAAGTAGCAGCAATTTTTGGTGCCAGGCACTGTGCCAGGTACTGGAGATGCAGCAGTGAGCAAAACAAACACAGGACCAAAGATCTAGTGCAGGAGACAGGCAGTGCTGTGAGGGTGCCATGGCAACATGGGACACGGAGGGGCATTTTATCGAGGGCCCAGTGAATGGACCAGGAGTTAGCCTGATGAGGCAGAGGGGCTAGCATGGATAAAACCTAGAAGTGAGAGCACCTGGCAGGTTCCAGATGCTGAAAGAGATATGGCTGGATAAGACAGTGTGAGGGGCAAATAGCCGAGGCTGGAGAAGCTATAAAAGCTGAGCCACAAAAAGCCTTGGAAACTGTTTTAAGGAATTAGACCTTTATCCTAATGGTATGTCAAGTCACTGAAGGTTTGTAAACTGGGAAGCAACATGGTTAAACCTGCATCCTGGAAGGATCACTCTGGTGGGGGTATAAGGAGTGGAACATGGGGCAAGACTGGAGGCAGAAGTGGATGGATTCAGGGGCTAATCAGGAGTTAGAATCAACAGGACTTGGTGGCAGGACTTCAGGACCCCTCTCCACCTCCCAAGGATGAGACAGATCAAGTGCAATATATCCCACACTGAGGTGAGTACTGTTCCCGCACTGAGTCACTTCTAAGAGTGGAGTAGCTGTACCACGGTGAAAGTTGGTAGGTGACTAAGGAAAGAGCCATTCAGCATTCTACAGGACAATTGGCCCAGTTGCTTCTACAAATCAATGGCATAGAAAAAAAGGAGGGAGGGCTGTGATAGAATGGAAACGTAATAATCAAATGCAACCCTTAATTGAATCCTTTGTCACACAAATTAATTCGAAAAAGATGTTGCTAATACAATCACAAAAAGTTGCATATGGACTGAGCAATATGCAAATTTAAAGAATTATTGTTAATTTTGTTAGATGTAATAATGGCATGATAGTTGTTTGTAAAATGTCCTTATCAAACAAAGATACATATTGAAGTAGTTACAAGTAAAATGACATGCTACTGGTTATTTGGTTTTAAATAATCTAGAAAACATAAAAATAAAACAATTAAGTGGGGGGAAATAGGTGAAACAAGACTGGCAAAATGTTGTTAACTCTTGATGGGCACATGGGTGTTCATTATACTATCCTCTCTTCTATATTTGAAATTTTCTATAATTAAAAACTTTAAAAAACAATCTACTCTCTCATAAAAGGAAATTTGGCCCTTCCTTCCTCCCTCCCTCCCTCCCTCCCTCCCTCCCTCCCTTCCTTCCTTCCTTCCTTCCTTCCTTCCTTCTTTCCCTCCCTCCCTCCCTCCCTCCCTCCCTCCCTCCTTCCCTTCCTTCTATCCTCTTTTTAGGAGCCTGGAGGTGTGCCCCAAGGTCTGGGACCTGTATGCCAGGGGAAAAGGCACAACAAGCTCTTTCTTCATTCAAAAGCGCTCTCTCTCTCTCTCTCTCTCTCTCTCTCTCTCTCTCTCTCTCTCTCTCATCTTGTTAGGTACAATAAGTACCTAACTGGTAGACACTGGAAGACACTATTCTATCAGACCCACTTGCTCTTTTCCTCTGGTTTGGGTGGACATAGCTGGGATTCACCCATTCTCAATTTACAGCAGTAACATCCCAGTGTGGATCTGGGCTTAGGGGAGAGAAGCAGAACCAGCCTGTGACCTGCTTTGGATTTAGCCTGTCTGGCAAACTCAGCTTAAGAAGGAGCTACAGGGTCCAACCTAGAACACAAGAGATCCACCTCAGGGTTTGGGACCAAGACTCCAGTTTGTAATAAAGTGCTTTTTCTTGCTTTCTCCTCTGGGTAAATAACCCCTCAAGGAACTTACAGGCAGCTGCAATTAGTCTGGGGCAAGATTCTGTTTCTGGGTCCTTAGCCAACATAGAGTCTTAGTACCACGTGAGTATCACCTCTCAATCACCAATGACCTTCCTCTGAAGGGTATTTTTCTGAGAGAAGACTCTCCTTCTGCAATAATGAGCCTCACCCCAATGAGGCAACCTGAGATGCTGCCACGATTGGTCAGCTTCTGGGCACAGGAGGCACCTTCAGGAAGGAGTGAGTGTCTGTAAGTAACAGACAAAAGCTTTATCTGCAATGGATTTATGAGAAGCCATAGAAAGGGAGGACATCTGTCTCCTAGCTGTAATTAAAAGGGGAGAGAAAAGATCTGAGGCTCTTATTGATAGTATAATTATAAATTACTGAAATGATTTCTGAACACTATTTTTTTCAATATATTTTATTGATTTTTTACAGAGAGGAAGGGAGAGGGATAGAGAGTCAGAAACATCGATGAGAGAGAAACATCGATCAGCTGCCTCCTGCACACCCCCCAACTGGGGATGTGCCCGCAACCAAGGTACATGCCCTTGACCAGAATCGAACCTGGGACCTTTCAGTCCGCAGGCCAACGCTCTATCTGCTGAGCCAAACAGGTTAGGGCTGAACACAATTTATGGAGTCAGCACATACCTCGCTCATGTATAAAATCAGACCATAATTGCACATCTACCACAGGTATTAATAGATATGGATGCTTTTCCCACATTTTAGACTTCCTTTCCCTTTCAACACTTCCCTTTCAACACTACCCTTAATGTCAAATTGGGGGCAGGGCAGGAGGCACACAGGAATCTGAATGTAAGCTTGATGCAAGAAAGGACTTACCCGTATAGAGGGTCACTAGGCTCTGGGGCACTGACCTAGGGAGCCCTTCTCTGGAGGGCCTTAGGGATAGGCCATCCATCCATTTGTCTGGTGTGCTTTGGAGGAAACCTGTCTGAAGCGTTGGTGGGGGGGGGGGGGGATCACTGAGATAGCAGCTCCTAATTCTTTTTTTTCATTAACCCTTCCCAAGAGTGGCACCCACAATTAAGTACATAAATCTACTTTCCAGAATATCTCTCTGCTGTGAAGGGTCTGGCCCAGGCACTCTAATCAGACTTTCCTTTTGTTACATACAGGAATGCACTGGCATCACTGCCTACACCAGCCTCAGGGAGGTCTAAGACACTGTCTGAGCCCTGGCTTTGTGATCAGATGACACAAACCTCAGAGTACTGTTCTCAACTTTGTCTCCTTTCTCTGTCTTAGAGTCTACGCTCCACATGTTCAAACACCTCTACATCCAATGCGGATAATATCCTCTAAGTCTCCAAGTTCTGTCCCAGGTTGTGCACCACCTCAAAGAAACACCACTAATAGCGTGCAGAATGATAAAACCCAGGCTAATGCATTTTTAGTCTATACAGTCCTAGAGGATCCAGAAAGTTCTAGGATGTCCTTCTGCAAGGTTCACGTTCACCCCCTACATAAATGAGACTGAGGAAGGGGCTAGGGTTGGCATGGAAATATGGGTCCCTGATATAAGCATTAGGTCGGTCGCCTGGCCTAAAGGGCTACAATGGGAGCAAAGTGTCTTGAGGTCTTTTACAAAGGGCTCTGAAGAAAACTTCAGGAGCTTAGGAAGAGAAAGCATCTCCCACACCAAGCATGGACACAGGGCAGAGACTGTTCCATAATACCCACTTGCTTCCTCCCTCCCTCCCTTTCTTCCTTCCATTCAAAAGCTCTCTCTCTCTCTCTCTCTCTCTCTCTCTCTCTCTCTCTCTCTCTCTCCCTCCTGGCTAGGTACAATGAGTGTATAGGTGGACACAGGGCAGACACTGGATAAAACTATCAGAGAGCTCAGATAACCCTTCCAATTTCAGCTTTGTCAATTCCAAAAGTTCCTGACATGACATTATAGAAGAACTTCCTCAAACCCCATTTGAATTTGTGAGTAAAGTCATTTGGAGTTAATAGTTAAATGTGTGATGTCCTAGCCATATAGGATTTTTTGGCGGAATGTTAGGCACCATTTCTGAGATTCTATAACTATTGAAATCCAATCTAATGGGTCTCCTAAACCCCCTATGAAGTGATTATAAGTGACCCCCATTCAAAAGGCCTGGGCGCCCTAGTTTCTTCTCCTCCCTTTGACACCAAAAGAAACCTGAAGTCTTATCTCTGCATGATTATCTGTTTGGAGGAAACCTTGCTGTCCTCATTTCTTCTACTTTCAACTCTAAATTCTGGGGTGTAGACACCCTTTATACTCCAAAGATAAGTCATAACTCTGAAATATGATCAAGTCCATGCCCTGAGACCCTTCCCCTTAAAAAGCACCCCCTCCTCTAAGACAGTCTCAATCCTGGAACCTATTCTAAGGACAGATGATTCCCTTGAACTGCCTCTCAACACCAGGCCTCCCCACCCAACACAGACCCTACAGCACTTAAAAGAAAATAGGAAACTTACTCTTAGAGGTTGCTCCCTCTTTTCAGTGGCCCCTTCCATCAAAGGGCTCCTCCTTTCCTCCAGTGACTCCTCCCCAGGGCCTACTTATCTTCCACCATCCTCAACACATTCCTCCAACCAAGACACATACTCCCCTACCAGGACACTGCTAGTTAAGTGTCATTATCTCCTGCTCCTCAGCATTTTCTCTTGATGACTTTCCAAGAATGGAAAAATAAATCACTCTCCACAGTTAAAAAACAAAACAAACAAACAAAAAAACCCACACAAAACCATGAATTTCCACTGGGAAGGGTACTGAAGATAGAAAAATAAGGAAAGCAATTTTAAGCAAGGAGGAAAAAACTAAAGTGAAAGCAGGGAACTAGAAAATGTTAAAGCTTCTTTCCATGAGCTTAGTCTTGTACTGAGAATCTCCACCCAGCAGATCATTCTTAGACAAACACAACTTACAGATCCAGGACCATAGTCTCAACCTTCTCCCATGATCTGGGGGCATCACCGGATATCATTCCAACCCAAAATATCATTCTCTTTTACCATCTTCCTCCCTGGCAAATAAAACCTCCTAGTCTGCCCTAGCCAGTTTGGCTCAGTGGATGGAGCGTCGGCCTGTGGACTGAAGGGTCCCAGGTTCAATTCCAGTCGGGTGCACATGCCTGGGTTGCGGGCTGGGTCCCTGGTGGGGGGCATGCAGGAGGCAGCCGATCAATGACTCTCATCATTGATGTTTCTCTCTCTCTCACTTCCTCTCCCTTCCTCTCTGAAAACAATAAAAATATATATATTAAAAACACACACACACAAACACACACACACAAAAACCTCCTAGTCTGGGCACCTGCTTCTCTCGCCTACCATAGAGAACCTCCTTTTTTGACATCAGTCTTTAAAATCTTGGCCTAGAAGAGTAGACTACCTATTCTGAGACACACATCTAAAAGAGTACCTATTTTTCTATCCTAAGGGAGTTTCTTAAAATAATCACTCAATACTTATCCATACCTAGTCCATTCATGTTTCTAAACAGGCAGCATTCTAAAAATATTCATTCATTCATTCTATATTGAGTGCCTGCTCTGTGCAGGGCACTGTGCTGGGTGCTAGGAATATAATGGGGTCCCTGCCCTTATGGAGCAAACGTTCTAGCAGGAAAGACAACGAATCAAGCAATAATAATAAAGTATAATAAGAGCTGTAATAGGGGGTTGGAGGCAGGATGGCAGGCAGGCAGGGGACAGAGCTCAAAGCTGTGACACCACATAGCAGGAACACCTAACCTCGTTTACAGAGAGTCCTGGAAGGCTTTTCAAAAGAAGTGACACCTAAACTGAGACAAAGGATAAATAGCAGTTAGCCAGGAGATAAGGGAGGATTCCCTCAAATCAGAGGGAACAAAGTGTGGGAAGAACTGGAGGTGAAATGAAACATGGTAGGTGGTCTGAGAAATTTGAATGATACAATACTTGATATATTTTTAATACTTACAGTCAATGGTTCCATTTGAAAAGTCATTCCCAAACAATTAAGATACCACAGAGAAGAAGGCTGAAAGCAAAGAGGATGACTCATTCCTTTACACATCTGCCCAGCAAGCAGTATCAGCTGTGAAATATCCCAGAACTTACCGCCCAGTGCGCTGAAGTTCTGGCCCGCTGTGGCCCCCATGTGGTTCTGGTTCTATGTGGCAAACGTTTCCGTTTGGAACTCCAGGCATTTTTCTTTTCTCCTTTTAACAGATGACCACAAAATTAGCGAAGTCAGCCATCTATCCTGTTCTTTCTACTAACGGGGGGCGGGGGGGTGGGTAGTAAAATAATCCAAAAGCAGCCAAAAAATACCCAAGTGTTTGTAGTTTTCAAATGCATTCATTGATTTGGGGTAGTTTATTGACTTTCTGGGGGCGGGGGGAACCACAAAAAATGTAATTTATCCTCCTCTCCACTAGTACCTGACTTCTAACTCTGCCTTGCTCAGAGACAGAAAAAATGGAGGCTTTGGCATCAGATATAACCTAAGTTCCAGTTTCAAATCTGCCTCTGTATAATCTTACTTTACCTTAAAACCTTGAAGATAATTTTATTCCTTATTTGTAAAACTAAGGATAACAATACCCATTGGGGGCTGTTGCTGAGAAGATTAAATTAACATATGTAAAGCATCTGGCTTACTGTCCAGTGCATAGTAGGAGTACCCTTCCAGTCTTTAACCTATGGGGAACTCTATTTGTTCTCTATATACAACTTGCTCTTTTAATTTAAATAGCTTCATTCATGTTACACTCCCAAAAAATTACCTTCCCTCTCCTCTCTGCCATTCCACATCAATTCTTCAAAAGTTGGCTTAAAATTCATCCTAGGTAATTCTGACTGACCCTATCACACCTGAGCCAATCTCTATTATTGCATATTCATTTTTTCACTACTGTTCTGACATTCTAGGTGCCCCGAAACAGGGCCATGTGTTGACTATATAGCATATACCCTATGTGGTCTTTGCTTTGTCCATGGTTGGGCACTTAGTAAGTGACACGAAGCCACCATCAGCTAATGTGCATACATACCTGGGAAGGGACGTTTTTGGGTGGCTCAATTCTAATGGAAGGGTCCCACTCCCCTGGAGGGAGCACCGTCACCTGGTCTAGGAACTCATCAATCCCCGCCAGGAGATCATCTCGATCTTTGGCCTTATATGCCACATCATGAAAAATCTACAGAGAAGAAAAAACCCTCAGGAAAGTTGAAAATGACTTTACTTAAAACAATCACCAATGGATATGGTAAAGAATGAATACAACCTCTTGATTTTTATTTCAGTCATGGGGATCTGAAATGTAGAAAACTTTTAGCACTTAGAGAAGTATAAGGTTAAAAGGATTTTTTAAAATGAACCTAAAGATGAGATAAGTAAAAAAGAACTCAATATATGTCTATTTGTATAAGAAGAGATAAGACATTTGTATAATTCTTATAATTGTGTAAGACATTCTATAATCCTACAGTTGTATAATTCTGTTATCTCCTCAAAGAATGGAATAAAGGGGAAGATGCATGGGAAAATTTTCCTGATCATATGGTTGGAAAAAGTGGATGGAATTACTAATGAAGGTTCTGTGTGAAATAAGCCTCCCCATCAAAGAGCGCTAATAAAACACAGCCTCCATCTCCTCTGCCTGCTAAGACACATGCCTTGAAACTCCTGCTTTGCAATTTACAAGAGCAGTGAAGTCCTCACTGGGGTATGCAGTGGGGATCAGCCAAAATGTCTGGCTTCCTTGGTACATTCACATTACAGTGCCGAGCATAAACCCCTAACTTATACAAACTGGTCTCATTTATGTGGAACTGGACTGAGGTTTCTGTATGTAAAGAGGTTGGATGCATTTAATTAACAATCATCTCTAGAAAGTTAAGTCAGCCTTAATATCTTTCTCTCTTAGTAGTTTACTTGGCAATAATAATTGCCCAAGAAAAATATTTCTCTGAATCCTTGATTATTCAAAAAGGAAGAAAAATCCCCCAAAAAGCTCAGTCCTCCCACAATAAGAATTCAGAGAAGTGACCTGAACTGCTTCCAGCCAACATTGCAATTGTAATTATTTTATCCTTAATAATTAGCACAGTGCCTGGCACATAGTAAATACTCAATAAATATTTATGAGTTGAATGAAGAAAAAACAGAAGTGGTGCATACCTCATCTGTCATGATGGTGGCCATGGATCTGCCAATCTCATGGTACTGCTGACCTTTCCCTACTGGACCCAATAGGATAAATAAAAATCTGCCAACACACACAAAGAATGAAAGTATGTAAGTAAAATTAAAGAAGTGGCATCTTACTCCTCTCTAAACAGCAGAACATTTCTCTGGCCTGTCAAGCAGAAATCATTGCAGTACCTTCAATAAAAGGAGGCAGACTAATGATGGAGCAGTATGAGCTGCCTTGATCTAATAGTCCACTATGGACATTGGAAGCTATTTGTATGACTCCATTAATAATGTGGTTATAATTCTTAGGATTTTCATGGACTCGATTCCTTGTTATAGAAAAGACACTTTTTCAAAACATGGCATTGTAATGCAAATTCAAGGTTATCTGAATCTCACTGATGGTTCTAATAAGAAAATAATGGGGAGAGGAAAGGAATAAGGAAGTTGAAATTATCAAGCCTTGGAGAGGAGTCTAAATTATATTCTGGACATGTGAATACTCTGTAATTCATAGGGCTCTGAGTCATCTGAATCACCACCTTCAGGGTGCATGAATAGCCTTTTGAACAAATGTGGACATATCTGCAAGCCAAACAAATCCTACCAGACTGTGGAAAGAGACATCAATGCCTTAGCTCACTGACATTTCCCTGGGACACGGCTCTGTAGAATTGGGAGGGCAACACAGCCTTTGCTATGTCCTTTGAATGCTCTTCAGTTCTCCATTTCCAAGGCTGCAGGTACGGTGCAGTCATAGCCTTAAAAGCCTTAGAATTCTGCATGGAGGTTAACCAAATATACCCCATTGAGATCACTGCTGAATTTTAAGCAGCATTCCCAAAAGTAATTAATTATCCTAAGTTTGGGCATTCGCTTGCTTCTTCCCCCAGAGCTCACACAAATCTGAACTTTGGATATAATGCACTGAGTCGTGCTGTTTTTGTCTTTACCTTGTTGGGATGGGCACTTCTGTCAAGCCTGAGAGAAGAACAGCTGGAGAAAGCCTCACAAAGGCAACGATGGGGCGGTCCAGAGTATCCACCTCTCCAACCAGGACGTTCGAGGCCTCTGCCCCAGTGGGGATTTTTTTCATGAAATGAAGGTCCACCTGAAAGTCCAAGAGAGCCTCTGAGGACCTGGGAGCCATTACCTCAAACGTCAATTACCTTCCTCATGCCGTACATTCACGTCATTTGATGATTTAACAAATGCTTTCTCACCCTGTTTCATTGGATCCTTACAAGAACTCTGTAAGGTGGATAAGAGTTTTTTTTTTTAATGAAGCAACTGAGATGCAGAGAGGGGAAGTTGACTAGCTCAGGACAAGAGCTTTTCAGAGAGAATTTAAATCAGGTGTTGTGATTTGAATCCATTATACCATGCTTCCTCAAAGAAAATTGTTTTTGAAGCTCCAGGTCAAATTTTCCTCATTTTAAAATACTTGAGTGCTTTGTCAGAGGTTCAGGTTTTTATAAGGCTCCCTGCCTCATGAGCAGAGACATGACCTGACACTATCTGTGTTTTAGAAAGACAATGTCAAGGTAGACTAGAGCAAGAAGAGGCTGGAGGCAGGATGGCTTGCACCAGAAACTGAAGTGAGGCCATGGATACCAAAGTCACAGTCCCAACCATGAAGGAGTTTTGGGAGATAATAGCAAATGCATTGTTTTGACAAAACTTTTGGAGGCAAGAAGTCGCTGCTAGAGAGCAGGTGCCAAAATAAATCTGAAAAAAATGAGGTCTGATTCAGGGAGGGTTGTCTGTGGCAAGTCTCAGTTTCAGCATGTTGGACCTGGTGAACCTGGTGGAACAAACTGATGAGTCAGCCCCATCGAGGCTGGAGTAGAAGGAAGAAGACTAGAGCAGATGGGCCTCCTTTTCTACAGAGGGGGCTCTGGTCTTGGAAAAAGGGTGTTGAAATACCAAAGCTTACTCTGGGTTCCTAGAGATACTCTTAGGCCTATAAGCCAACTTCCCATGTCTCCACTTACCTTACTTAAATCCACAGGACTGTGTTCACAATTCACTCCATTCTTTACTTCAAGATTTGTAGTTGGAACAGACTGAGGAGACACAGTTTGACCTATTTGGAGAAAATCAAACAGAATTCTCTGAGTCCCTGCCCTTTCCCCCTCTGACACACCTAGATCCATGATTGTTTAGCTATAACTATCTCCTGCAAAGCCCACATAGAGAAGAGGTTAAGATGATTAAGAAGCTAGGACCACACATGCCTATCTCCTTACCTACTAATTAGTGGTAAAGGGAGGGCAAGGGTATTACTACTCCTGCACCTTCTTCCTGAACACCTTTGTAATCCTCTTTTCTTCCTCTATTAAGGTAGTAATCCTTAGCCAGGAATGTATATCAGACTCCCATGAAGAACTTTTCAAATATATTGATTCCCAGGCATATCCCCTGCACATTGTGACTCAATAAATGTGGGGGCATGATCAATGTAGGTTACCCTGCCAGGCCACAGAAAACAAAACAAATCAGCAGCTGAAATTCATTGAGTGCACCTGGCTAAGGGCCTTCTTACATGAATTAAGTTACTGAAGCCTCACAATAAACTTATGGAGTTGAACCCATTATTATCCTTATTTTACAGAGGGGAACATTAGACTTAAAGAGGTTTAGAGGTTTCCCAAAGTCACACACTTTTCAAGTGGTGAAGCCAAAATCTCAAGCCTAGAAGTCCAACTCAAGAGTCTACACTAGCCCGGCCGGTGTGGCTCAGTGTTGAGCACTGACCTATGAACCAGGGAGTCACGGTTTGTTTCACGGTCAGGACATATGCCCGGTTTGCAGGCTCGATCCCCTGCCCTGCTCGGAGCACTTGTGGGAGGCAACCAATCGATGTGTCTCTCTCACATCACTGTTTCTCTCTCTTTCTCTCTTCCCCTCCTTCCCTTCCTTCCACTCTCTCTAAAAATCAATGGAAAAAATATCCTCGGGTGAGGATTAACAATAACAAAAAATCTCCAATGTACCTTCTCTGGCCCCAATTACCCCCAAAGTGGGTATCTCCCAAAAGCCATATTAGTTCTGAGGCCACTCTGCGCTACAAACCTCTCACCCTGGGTCCACTGAGGTCTGAGGCAGGCATCCCTAGTGCCATAAGAGCACCAGTCCCAGCCACCCATCCATTGATCACAAGAAGTACTCTAAGTGAGCATGGAAGCATATTAGATAAATATAGCCCCAACCCTCTAGTCACTTAGTATCTACAGTTAATGCTGAAATGTCTGATTAATAAAAAAAAGAAAACCGTCACTCCTAATAATCTTACCATTTTTATCCATCGAATGTGGATCAGACTGCTTCTTGCCAACCTCAGCAAAGGAGCGAACAATGGGAATGAGGTTACTTCTCTTCTTTTCATTCTGATGATGATGCTTTTTGAGAAGGGCTTCCCGTACTTTAACCCTCATGCTGTCACTCAGGTCACTGAACAGTTCTTGCTGGTCCAGGACCAGATCTGGAAAATAGATGCTAACATGAACACCCTGATGGTCAATGGACCCAAAGAGACCAATGTCAAGTGGGTTAAGGGGAGTGGGGGGGCCAATGAGCATGGGGATGCAATTCAACCAGTGTCACTGAGATACAATTTCCTGAAATAGTATCTTTGATGACAGCAGCTGTGGTAAGTTATACTTTATTCATATAACAAATCATTATTATTAGAAATAGAAACTATTGAACACTTTGTATGTGCCAGGAATTATACTAGATTATCTAATCTTATCCTCATAAAAACTCTGAAAAATGGCTTATATAACAATTTCTACAGATCAGGAAACTGATGTCCAAACATTACAAAATTCCTCAGGGTCTCACATCTAGTAAGTTGCAGAGCTGGGATTCAAGCATAAGACAGTCTGAGTCAAAAGCCTACACTATTACCCATTTTGTTCTGTCATCTTCCAAAGGTCCTCTATATTCCCTTCCTCCAAGACTTTTTTTTAATCCTCACCCAAGTAGTGAGGATATTTTTCCATTAATTTTTTAGAGAGAGTGGAAAGGAAGCGGGGGGAGAGAGAGACACACATCGATTGGCTGCTTCCCGCTCACAGCCCCCTTGGAGCTAGGGATTGAACCTGCAACCAAGGTATGTGCCCTTGACCAGGAATCGAACCCACCACCCTGCAGTCTGTGGGCTGATGCTCTAACCCTGGGATGGGGAACCTTTTTTCTGCCAAGAGCCATTTGGATATTTATAAAATTATTAACTTAAAAAATAGCCTGCTATATTTGGTCAAACATTTAATTAATTCATCCCTACTGCCTTGGCAGGGCCAAACCAAATGACTTCTTGGTCCTTATAAGGCCCACTGGCTGGACAGTCCACACCCTGCTCTAACCACTGAGCAACTGCCTAGGGAGAACATTTTAACATTGCTGTGATTCATCACTAACATGAATACATCAGGTACCTAATGTGGAGAACCATAACAGTTTTACTTCAATCCTATATACCTACTCCCAAGCCTTCCCCAAACTTCAACCTATTCTCAACTCCAACCTCATCCATAACTATCCAAATGCTAGTAGTAATAAATAAAGAAAATCTATTTTAAATATTCAAGCCAAAGATCCATGTTTTTCTATCTTTAACCTTTGTATTGATTGTTTCCTTGCTCGGATATTATAAACATGCTTCAGGATCCTTCATCTTGAAAAACAAAACAAAAAAAAACAAAGGATAAGAATATCCTCCCTGCCCTAGCTGGTTTGGCTCAGTGTACAGAGCATGGGATTGAAAGGTCCCGGGTTCAATTCCAGACAAGGGCACATGCCTGGGTTGCAGGCTCAATCCCTAGTGGAGGGCATGCAGGAGGCAGCCAATCAATGATTCTTTCTCATCATTGATGTTTCTATCTCTCTCTCCCTCTCCCTTCCTCTCTGAAATCAATAAAAATATATTTTTTTAAAAAGAATATCCTCCCTAAGTCCTCCTTTATCTATTTCATCTATTTCTATCTCTCTCTCTCCCTCCTTCTCCTTCTTCTTCTCCCTCTCCCTCTCTCCTATCACTTAAAGTTCTCAAAACAAAAATTCTTCAGCCCACTGTAATTTGACTACCACGAAGAAACTGCTTTTGATAAAATAATCAATAACCTCCAGTTGCTCAATCTGATGGATGTTCTAGTCCTTACCTAACCTGACCTCTCCATAGCATTTGACACTGGTGAATTAAAACTCTTTCCTTTTGGCTTTTGTAGTGGGTTGAATGGTGACCCCCGAAAAGATATGTCTATGTATAACCCTGAGACCTGTGATTTTATTTTAAGAGTCTTTGCAGATGTAACTAAGGCTCTCCAGATGAGATCATCCTGAATGATATTGATAAATATCTTTATGAGAGAGACACAGATCCTTATAAGAGAGACACTAGAAGCTGTAAGCTAGAAGCATCAAGAATAACTTTCCCCTAGAGTCTTTGGAGGGGACACAGGATCCTATCAGTGCTGACCTCTCCCTTGGGTCCCATGTGATCCCAGAGAGACAGAATTACTTGGATACTTTAAATGGAGAAAAGTTTGAAGAAATCCTTATTTAACCTCTCCAGCCAAATCAAGCCAAGCTGAAGGGGAAAATCCTCACATGCACCCATATGCCAAACTCCATTCCCATAACGTAACACTCAACCACTCCATAAAACTTCATCAGACATCTCCCTTTCATATCTTGCTGAAGAAGTAGAGGTACTTTGACACAATTTCTTACATGTCTTCCTAGCTACCATATTTTAAAAATATTTAACTCCCTTTTCTCTGCACAACTCCTAATTGCACCTTTCTATAATTATTGTCAAAATATATCTCCCACTGTGGCACTTATATTAATTGTTCTATAGCTATTTTCCCCACTAAAAGATGAGCTTCTTTAAGGTAGAAGCTGTATTTTATCTTTATTCCCTGTGGCTAGGACATAATCAGGCATAAATAAATAAATATAAATGTTTGCTGAATGAACAAAAAAATGGAAGACTAAGTACTATGTCATTTAAATCCCATAAGTCTGTGAAATAGGTGATTTCTTAGTTTGAAACCCATCCCACAGCTGAGAATGTTGAGGTCAGGAACGCTAAGTGACTTGCCTAAGGAAACATAGCCATTTGATTCTTTCCTCTATACCAGTGATGGCCAACCTTTCAGACCTGAGAGACCATCAGTGGTCCGCGGGCCACCAGTTGGCGACCGCTGCTCTATACCAGACTTCTTAATTTACACAAACATTCCTCTGCTTTCCTTCACCTAACCTTACCTGAAATTTCTTCTATGCTATTTGCACGCATATCCAGAAGGACCGTTCCATTAATAAGGCAGCTCCTTAGCTCAAAGAGACTGTGCAATGAAAGGGTTGCCACATAGGGCTTGCTCCAGCGTTCCCCCCCATCTTCAACATCTTCTTCAAACTTCAGCCACCTGAAAGCATTACAAAGAACTAGATGCCAAAGATAGAAAATGAGGACTTTTTAAGAGTGAATCTTTAATGTAAATCACAAAAAAAAAATCTAAATAATCACACTGAACATTGTAATCTACTCTCTGTGTTCAAGGTACATTGGTAAGTAAAACAGCAGACTGTACAACAGTGCAAAGTTGAGTAGAGTTTAATACCATTTTTATTTAAAGAAAATTTTAAAAACATGAACATATCCATGTATAAGACACCAAATATTATATTCCTCATTATCCCTGGGGTTTTGCACATAATTTCCATTTTCTTTTTATTTATCTTTATTTTTCTAATCTATATATATAAAAGCCTAAGCAACTATCGCAACTGAACGGACGACCAAACAGGCTGCATGGGGTGACCAGGCCAGCAGGGGGGTTAGTGAGGGACGACCAAACGACTGATAGGGCCTAAACCGGCAGCCGGACATCCCCCAAGGGGTCCCAGATTGGAGAGGGTGCAGGTTGGGCTGAGGAACAACGCCCCCAGTGCACGAATTTCGTGAACCGAGCCTCTAGTTTTTTATAATGAGCATACATTACTTATGTAATTAAAAATAGACCCAATCTCTATCGTTTGGATATACTGACAAATCACATTAATAAAATGATTTTTTTCTTTCTTAAAGAGCCTATCCATGTGACCTTTAGCAGTTTACAAAGACAAAATGACAAGATTAATTGCCTTTTCATTTGGTATCAGATGGCTTGGCTTGTTTAATCCTTTCTACCTGTAGAAAATATCCATGGAGACAGCAGGCATCAAGGAAGAGCTATTCTGATGTGAGCTGGAGCCATGCTTTGCTAGTTATGCACATTGCCTCTTACCCCAAGGCTCAGGCCCACTGGTCAGTTACTAGAAGAGCCCAGACATGGCCCTGATTAATCTAAGGGCTTCTTGGGTTTGAGCCTTAGGCAAGCACGGCCACCCTACAACTACTTCAAAAAGCCCACTGTCAGACACTATAATCTCAAGGGTCTATGAAGTTGGACTGTCCCATAAGAAGTTAAAATCTCAAAAATTAAGTGAATTCCACTGAATTAAAACCGAAATGACTCTATGGTTCACCTGTAGGAAAAGTCTGGACCTGTGCTCTGTCTTCTTGGCTAGGTCCAAACCAAGGTGGCCCCGTCAGGCATCCTCTAAACCAGACCTATAATATCAAGATAGCCCATGAAGTACTCTGGGCCCCCCCAAAATAAGAGAGGACCTCAATTCTAGGCTCAAGGTCAATTGGCATAGGTGTGACCAGAGACACCACAAAGAGGTCAACATCAAGACTCTCCAAAGAACACTCTCAAACATCAGTTCCCAAGTCAGTCATCACTTTTCCCATGAAGAAATAAGAGACAAGGCAGGCCTGTCACTTGCTGAAAGGTACCATTGCCTACCCAAGCAAATCTTGACCCAGTTTATTTTAGGAAGTTACCTGGCTGTCTCTTTCCACTCAGCATCTTCTCCGTCTTTCATACAGATCTCATCCAGCTCTGTGAACAGCTCATGAGGTACGTGCTCCTCATCCTCCTCAGTGCCAAGAATGAACTGAACACGCTGAGATGGTGTGTCTGGAAAATCAACCACAGAGAAAGGTCTGCTCCCAGCTTCAACTAGAGCAGAGATAGAATTCTGCCATACTTATCACATCTGGGGGCCTTAAAACTTCAGGAATGTATTTAAGATAATCCTGAGCACAGATAAAAAAATTTATTTATTCCCAGAAAAATATTTTTTTTAAATCTCTTCTGTGAAAGCATTTTCACAGGAGGAAAAAAAATATTAACTAAGACCACTTGAAAAAAAAACCACAACAAACTGGAAATCTGATGAATCTGATCCAAAGGAATGGCTAGTTCTCTAGCAAATTATTTCACCTATTATGGTATTGATTTGGGGGCCTGAATTGTATAGTTTTCAGGAAGATACTTTTGATTCTTAGAAGCATTTTTTCTTCTTGGAAGCAAGCTCTAAAAACTCTATAGAAGGGGTAGAGAATCAAAACCATCTGCTTAATGTCCCTCAGCCTCACCAATCCTCCCGGCCATGGACACCCACCTTCTCTCCCAAGGGTGATACCGTGTGCCAGGGCCTCCGGGCCTTCCTCCCCTTGGCCAGCTCCTTTACCCCGGCCTCGTCTCCGGTGCTTCTGGCCATGAGTTCGATGATGCCGATGGCTCTGCCTGCCCAGTGGCATCCGAACCCCCACGTACAGAGTCCTATGACCTGAAAAGAAGCAGAAGGTCTGTAGAGAAAATCCCTTTAATAAAAGGAGTCTAGCATATTTAAGGGGGGGGGTAGATTATAATTCTTTGGCCTGGTCACAATCCTGTAATGATAAACTTCAAAGACTTCCAGAGCTAAGGATATAGAGATCTTAGAATTCAAAGGTCACTTGCATGTGGCTGCAAACCTCCAGGAGTGTTGTTAAGATCAAAAGAAACAATGTGCATGAACATTAAAGGCCAATACAAATGCTAGTTGTTATTACAACAACAATCTGATCAATTATTTTTAAAAAGGCAATACAATCACTCTATGACAACTGCAGCAAGTCTTAGCAGGGAGGCAGCTTAGAAAAGTGCTCAGTTCAACCTGCCTGGGTCCAAAACTTCACCTCATCATTCACAAGCCTTGTGACCTTGAACAAGTTATCTAATCTCTCTGTGACTGCCTTTAAAAGGAGTACTGAAAGTGGTGTTAAAGTGCCTGGGGGTGCTGTTCTAACACCCCTTTCTTTATTTCTCCCTCCTTTTCTTTGTCCTCCCCTGTCTCTCAATTTCCAAAGTGATAGAGCAAAATAAAAAACAGTGATGATTAGATGGGAAGATGATCAGAGATTTGTTAGAGTGTTGAGAGGCAGGCAGGATAATAAAATATTTAGTGTCTGGAAGAATCGCACCTATTACACACTAACTGCCTCAGGACAGTCCTGTTGACTCAGGCACACCTCAGGACATTTTTGACAGGCAGATTTCAACACATAATGTTGTTATCTTGAAACTTCAATGAAACAGAAATACAGAGCCCGAAGAGGTCATTTGCTAAGATGTGGGATTCTGGACCTCTGATATAATCAGTGAAAACTATAAACCATGAAAACAACTAAATTAACTACCACTTTAATAAAATACCATCTGTTAATAATGTTTGACTATAGTATTTAATTAGGTCCCTGTGGTACACCACTCAGGTCAACCCAGGCTGGCGTTACCTAATTGTACCAGGTCCTATCCCAAGGGCTGGGGATATAGCAGTGAACAGCACAAAATCCCTGTCTTCAAAACACAATTCTAGTGGGGGAAGACAGACATCATAAAAACATATTATTTCAAATACTGATAATTTTTATGAATAAAATACAATAAAGTGCTAGAATATCTACGGTAGGGGATAGGATGGAGAAGGGAGACTTTAGCTAAGATGATTAGAAGAGACATCCAGTGATGAGAAGGAGAGGTCATGAGAAGACCCTGGAGAAGAGCATTCCAGGAAGAGGGAAGATCAAGTACACAGGCTCTCCAATGGCAATGTGTGCGGCTAGTTCCAAGGGCAAAGGACAGCCAGTGGGACCAGAACAAGGTGAAAGAGGAAAGGAGAGGAGGGGGGAAAGTTAGAGAAAGACAGGCACAGACATGAAGAACCTGTGGGCCATGAAAAGCATATTTAGATCCTAGAGAATCACTTCAACCACCCCCTAAAATAGTGACCTAAGTGTTGTAAAACCAGGTGTGTGCAGGTGAGGGTAACTTTCAGTCCTTCAACAGAGCCACCCCAACCATATGCTTCCTCTTCTGAGCAAATCCCCCAGGTTACTGGCCAGGTTAGGACCTCTACTTAAGCACACTCCAAATATTTCTGCTGGGCTCGTGCTGGTATAATGCTAGTATTATTTAATTTTAACTACATTCTAAGGAGAAAGTGAGAACACAATAATTAGGTGTTAGAATCCATGTTATTAGACTCATTCTTGGTTAATTTATTCACTGACACTATTAAAGTAAAACAAGGAAGTTGGACCAAATGACTTCTCAGGTCTTGTCCAAATGATGGCTAGTCCAGGTTCTAATGTTAAGACCTAGGAAAGGCTCGGGCTAAGGCTTTCTTTGGAGAATTCACAATGGTTCCATTGTTCTCACTATCTTTACTTATTGCTGCAAAAGAGATTATAAAAGGGCCTCAGTAAATGTTGAGTAAATAATGTATGGTTTTGCTTGATATTTAAATTCCTTCTAGGCAAGTCTGTAGCATAACAGGTAAGACATCCTACAGATGCCTTTGAGGGCTCTGTAGGAAGTAAGATAAAGCTTAAATCTTTAAGAAGACTCCTCCTTCTCTAAGAAGTTCTTTTAGTCTAACAAGCTCTCACAAACATTAGCCAACCACAGTGCCTGCCTTCTTAAAACACCAGCGAGACAAGTGTTAATGAAAACAAGCCCCAGCAGAGGTCAGAACTAAGTAAGTCCAAGTATCTATCAGAAAATTAGGCATCAGCTTCTACGCTGGAACTCTGAAACAGAAACTTGGATTTTCTGAATGAAATCAGCAGAAAAGAAGACTAACAAATGGACACTAGGAAATGAATATAGCACTAGTAAAATCCAGTCCTAACTGGATTTTGGCATTGTGATGACTTCACTAAACTAATCCTGTGGTCACTTTGCTGGCCATTCAACCCTCTCCTACCCTCATAATCTTCATCCCTTCCATCTACCAATCAACTCACCAAAATTCTACCTTCTTCCCATCCAATTCTCCATTCTTTCCTCCAGTATTTACTACTCTTCAGAGGCTATCTGTATGCAAATACAAGTGTTAATTTAGTAAAAACTAATAGAAAAGATGTAACAGTGTATATATTTTTAAAATAAGTATGTATACACTCCCAGCTGGCATAGCTCAGTGGCTGAGCTTTGACATATGAACCAGGAGGTCACGGTTCGATTCCCAGTGAGGGCACATGCCCAGGTTGCAGTCTCGATCCCCAGTGTAGGGTGTGCAGGAGGCAGCCGATCAATGATTCTCTCTCATCATTGATGTTTCTATCTCTCTCCCTCTCCCTTCCTCTCTGAAATCAATTTTTAAAAGATAAGTATGTATACAAATGCAGAGAACAATCCTTAGTGAACTGGGACTGAATCTTGTGGAGCAAGACAGAAACCACAGGTGAGACCCACCCTCCAGATGGAGGCTGTATTAACATTCCATACATGCTGTTTACCAAGAGTGCAGACAGAACTCATTAGCACATACAAAAGGTGTTCCACTCCTCTGGGCTACAGGTTGACTCAAAGTCAATAACCACAGGGGGGAATCTAACATGTGGAGCAGATGCAAGTCTTTTCTTTTTCTTTTAACTTATAAATATGAGCAAATGGCTCTTACACATTTGTTAAAAACTTATTAGAAGGCACTAAACTTACTCTAGGATTCATAAATCTAGTCGTTAATCAGGAATAATGATCTACCAGAAAAAATGGAAAAATCCATTCTTCTAACTAAAGCAACTGCTCGTGTTCCTTTGAGACTGGGAGAGTCCACTGGAGCACATCATGGACTATTATTGCTCTTCATGAGTTTATCTTTGGAAATCTATTCTAATGTTTGCTTTTGACTCTTCAAAAACAATGTCATTGTTTAATGCACTATCTCCTACTGATGAAATTAACGTACGCAAAAGGCCCACATTTACAAAAGTCTCTCACAATGTCCAGAGACTAAATCTCAGAGTAATTCTGAAAATGAGTGATGAAATGGTTTATGTCATGTGGGGTAGACATATGGAATAAAGGGGAAGGAAGACCAGGGATTTATCTGCAGCCACAAAACCTTGTATCATGGTATACATATCAAACCAAATATAATTTTATCCTACACCTTCAAAAGACAATGTCACTCTAAGTGCAGCATCACTGAGTCCCAGAGCTGACCTCAGAGTGAGTCGGGGTAGAGCCCACAGCATGGCCAGCCCCACAGCAAATTCCTCTCCTCTCTAGAGCTGCTCTAGAACCACATCAGGCCTGAGAGGTAGGCAGCATTTGTCCTCCATTTGTCTAAAGTGCTTTTTAAAAATAGTACTAAAATAAATAAGATTCTAGTTTTCAAAAAGGTCTATGTATAAATGACCATTTCCCAACACATTACTCTCTAGTAATGACATCATAGATTACTAATTTTTATGGCAAAATGGAAAATGCATAAAGAATAGATGATGACATCATAAGAAGCTGATCCAACTGCCAATTACTCAGCTGACCTCTGTGGGTGGAACACAGTCCTCAGGATTCAAGAGAGTTTGCACAAGTTTATTATTCTACTCACAAGGAGACAAAGAGTGTTTATAAACAGTTATCTCCTTGCTGAGGACAAAGGTCATGTGGGCCCAAACAACTAAACTGAGAACAACATTGTCCCACGGGGCAATAAGAGGGTAGAGAAGCAATAGAATTATCTGGGCAGAAGGAGGGCTAATAGATAAACATGTTTATATAATGGAACAAAATGTTGAGGTTGGGTAGTTAATGCTGGATACTGTCCTCCCTTGCAGATGGTGTGGTAGAGTGGAAAAGCCCACTTTCGTCCCATATCACCTGCCATCAGGCTAGATCAATGATTTTCAACCGGTGTCACATCAGTGTGCTGCAAGAAATTTTTAAAACTTACAATATCTGACTATTTAGTCAGGGACACTGACCTCTTTTCCCTTAGATTGTCAAATTAAAAAGTGACAATGGCCCTGGCCAGGTGGCTCAGTTGGTTGGAGCATCAGCCCATACAACAGGTATGCAGGTTCAATCCCCAGCTGAGGTGCATACGGGAGGCAGCCAATAGATGCTCTCTCTCTCTCTCTCTCTCTCTCTCTCTTTCTCTCTCTCTCTCCCTTTCTTTCTCTCTAAAATCAATAAAAAACATATCCTTGGGTGAGGATAAAAACAAAATGAGGACAACACAATAGCTGTCTGGTGTGAATGAATCAAAATTATACTTTTTGTGTGTGTGTGTCAGATTGGCAAAACAATATATTCATTTTTTGGTGTGCCACAGAATTTTAGTAATTAGTTTGTGTGCCATGAGGTGAAAAGGTTTAAAGATCATTGGGCTAGATGACCTGAAGTAGGTATATAACCTACCTGGCCTTGTATTGAGAGGATAAAAAAGACAACTTGTTCAAAGGCCCCAGTCAAATGCCTATTACACAAGGGTCATTTAACGAATGTTAGCCTCCCACCCCCCATACCCTTTTCTTCTCCCACTTTCTCCCAATTGCTGAAAGCCACATTGGCTCTTCCATCTGGTTAAAATAGTTTGGAAAACTTGACCTTGATCTACCCAAACCCACTGACCTCCACAGAGCCACCCACATAAGTTCTCATGGTAATAGATCCAGAGACTGAGTCAGCCTCTCTAGAGCTTTCACTCTCCTCATCCTAAGGACAAGTTCTCTTGAGGGATTGTACAACTTTGATGATGAAAAAAAAAACACGTCACGAGAACAAGCAGTCCAGAGAGGATTTTTCACATGCTGTCCCAGTCATTAGAAAGTTGCTGTATCGTAGCCTTCAACATTGAGAGGGTGCTGCAGAGAGTTCACAGAGGCTTTTGAGCCAAATGTGGGTTCTCATTAAAGTTCTATAGACAGAGCCTTTCTCTAATAAAATCAAGCATCACCACAAATCAGGAAACTAGGCCCCAGGGGGAAAAGGAAAACAGGACACCACACGGGGTCATGTGGGGAGCTGGGGCTGGGGCAGGGAGGAAGGAAGAAGAGCCTTAATAAGGTACACTGGAAACAGCAGGTCATTAACAATGCCCTTCCTGTCCACTTCAGTTGGATTTTTATGCAACTCTGTGCTGTGACTCCTAAAGAATATGTTACAGGTACGTATGTGTTTTCCCTTTTCTTGTTTAGATGAAAACACCAGGCAGAAATGGGTTTAGTTAGAAGGAAAGAGCAAACATTATAAATGGGGTACAAACAGGATTTTATAGCCAAACTGAGTTTTTAAAATTATTTGTAATTTTTCTTTTAAAAGTTTGCATGTATTTATATTTCTAAGCAGTTGTCAAGAATCAATAAACTGATCTGAGTACTTCACATTCTCATGGGATAGGTCATTTAATAATGTTTATATTGGACTTTACAGGGCTCAAAGCGCTGTCTCACATGCTGTCTATTGGGTATTACTATCCTACTTTTATTTAATAGACAAGGAAGTTGAGGCTAAGGGAAATTAAGTGATCTCCCCCAAGGTCTGACAGCTAGTGAAAGTTAGGACTCAAACCCCAGTCTCCTGATAACAAAGCTGTCCCTCCCACAGGCTGCCTCTCACTGTTTCCCCCATTACATGGAACAGCAGTTCTTACCTTCCAACTCTTCTTTCTCATAGTGAATGTTGAGAATTGTACTGGTCCCACCCTGATCCACCACAGCTTCTTCATCTGGTCTCTGTGAAAACATAAATATGGAGTCATAGTAATACCCACACATTCATTCAAACATTCAGTTAAGTACCATGTGTCAGAGTCTTTATGCAACACTTGGAAGAGAAGCATGATGGTTTATATATTTTTTAAATTTGAACCTCACAATAACTTTGAGATACAAATATGGTAGCCATTCTCTTTCTTATTTTATAAAATGAACAGCCTGAGACTCAGAGAACATAAAGTAATTATTGCTCAAGGTTACAAACGGGGTAAAAGGCAGGAGTAGGACTGAGCCCAAGTCTTATGACTGCAGATCTCATGCCTTTTCATCTCTGCACCCCATCTATACATCTGTATAATGGCATTTTGTAAGTGGTGTCAACCACATTGTCTCATTTGGTGTAAATTGGTTGGTCTCCTTGACCTCTGCAGCATCTAAGCCTGTTTAATATTTAAATTATCCATCCTGCTCCCTGCCCAAATCTTCCCTGTCTCATCCTAAGGCTCATCTTCTTCCTCTAAATATAATTCCCAAGGAAGCGCGGTCTACCTTTTGTTTCCCTCACTTGAGTATTACAATTTCAACAGCACCCTGAGATGGTGTGGCCCAGTATTTGACAAACCAATGGGATGCCACACCTCAAGACTCAGGTGTCTAAAACCAAATTAATCTTCCTTCCAAAACTAGCAGCCTGTTCTCATTTACTTACTCCTTCCTATGGCACCATCATTTCTTAATCCACATTTGAAATTTCAAACATATTTAGTCATCTATTTCATATATATTGAGTATCACTTATATGCCTTCAGAGAAACAGTTCTCTTTTCTTATCAAGACCTCCTTTGCAATTTCCCTCGAATTCACTCTCATCTCACATCCACTCTATCCCATACTCTCCAACACTTTCAGTCATACTGGACATTTTTTATCAGTTCTGGAACCATATTTCCTTTCTTCCCTGAGTGCTGCTCCTTCTAGAGCAATCACCCTCTGCCTACTACCCCCACCTCCACCACCAGCAACTAATACTTATTCATCATCCTATGGATCTCAATCTAAATGCACTTCCTTGGAAGCTTTTCCTGATTCATCATCCTATGGATCTCAATCTAAATGCACTTCCTTGGAAGCTTTTCCTGATTACCCCTCTTATAAACTAAGCTAGGTCGAGGGTCCCTCAGCCTGGCCTGTGCCCTCTGGCAGTCCAGGATGCCTCAGGGGATGTCCACCTGCCAGCTTAGGCCCACTCCCACACATCCTCTTGCAGTCCGGGATCCCTTGCTCCTTACCACCCACCTGCTCACTGCTCCTTGCAGTCCGGGACCCCTTGCTCCTTACCCCTCAGCTCACTGCTCCTTAGCACTGCTGTGGAGGCAGGAGAGGCTCCCACCACCGCCACTGCGCTCACCAGCTGCTTCTGACAGAGCGGCGTTCCCCCTGTAGGAGTGAACTGACCACCAGGGGGCAGCTCCTGCTTTGAGCATCTGCCCCCTGGTGGTCAGTGCACATCATAGCGACTGGTCATTCTGGTCATTCCGCTGTAACGGTCACTTAGGCTTTTATTATATAGACTAGAGGCCCAGTGCACGGTTCGTGCACTGGTGGGGTCCCTCAGCCTGTTCTACAGGGATAGGGCCGAGCCGGCTCTCCAACAACCCCCAAGGGGTCCCAAATTGTGAGAGGGTGGTTCTCGGGTGATGCACCCCAGAATCAGGCTCCCTCCTCTCCCAATATTATGTCACTTTCTCTCTGTATCTGTCTCGCTTCTTTCATCTCACTTTACCCTAAGTTTGATGACTTGTGGGCATTTAGCTGCAAAATGCAATTATTTAGCAAACAGGATTTACTTAACCTAGAATCCAGTCTGCCTAGGGCAGGACCCTGCTCAGTGTCAGGCTCCTGCCCAGGCCCTTCCGCCCAGGCAGAGTCCTGTGGTGGCAGGATCCTCCTTCTTCCCACCTGAGCTACTCCTTCGCCTTCTTCCCTCCCCGGAGGTTGCCCGCTGGCACTATTGTCCGCCCAGAAGGAGGGAAGCCTCATCCAATTTCCCAGCTGAGAGTGGTAGTGGGAAAATTTGCTGCCTCCACTGGAAATTGATATTAAACAGATGGGCCGGCGCAGGGGCAGACATCAGGGCCACAGTCAGTAGGTCTTGCACGTCTCATCATTTAGTTAATCAAGTCGAAAAGTTTCTGTAAGGGCCAAACCCACGACCTCTGCAATGGGCTAGAGGCCCGGTGGGGAGCCAGACACGAAGTGGGGAGCCAATGGGCTAGAGGCCCGGTGCATGGATTCATGCATCGGTTGGGTCCCTCAGTCTGGTCTGCGGTGATTGGACTGAAACAGGCTCTCTGACATCGCCCAAGGGGTCCCAGATTGCGAGAGGTGGTTCTCAGGTGACACGCCCCTGAATCGGGCTCCCTCCTCTCTGGTTCTGGGTGCATCACCCAAGAACAGCAGCTGCCAAGTCACCGCAGCTCATCAGCTCCTGCATTGAGCATCTGCCCCCTGGTGGTCAGTGCATGTCATAGCTACCGGTCAGATGGTCGGTCGGACGGTTGCTTAGGCTTTTATATATATAGATCGCATACTGTACTTCTCCTTAGTAATGAAATGTCTCTGCTCCTTAAGGGAGAGACCATATCTGTCTTCCTTTCCACTGTTTCCCCAGCACTCTGAAGACTTTTCACATAGTGGGTGCTCAATACATCTTTGTTAAAAGAATGAATATAATGGTACCTACTTTATCAAGACCTTCACCATACCCTGAATTATTTCAAAAAATATCTGAATCAATTTCCTTACTAGTCTATTTCCTTTACCAAACCTGCAGCTCCAGTCAGCCTTACTGATCCCACAGGCACTGTGCACATTCCCACCTTCATGCCTTTGCTCATACTGTCCAGTCACCTAACACTCCCCTTCCCCCACTCTCCAGCACAGCAAATCTTCACCATCCTTCCAAATCCTGCTCAAATTTCCAGTTTACTGTTCCAATTTTACTATTTTGTAGTTATCATCTATACCCCCAAATAAGACAAGCCTGAATATAAAAGAATCCATTTTTCTAAAAAGAAGATTCAAAAAAAGTTTTTGAGGCTAACTTGAATAAATAAACTTGTAGGAGAGTAGATGAAATACTCGAATGTCTACTTATAGTATTTTATTTAATTAGTTTTATAGACATATTTATAAAAATATATATTACTACTACTATGGAATAAGCTCCAAGATATAATATCAAGTTTAAAAAGTAAGGTGGAAAACTGTATAACTGTTGTCTAAGAAAGGGTTTTGAACCATAAGTATCTGCTTATACTTAAAATATATAAAGGAAGAATAAGCCATAAAAGATGTTTTCAAATAGTTACCTATAGAAGGAGGGAGGGCATAGAGGATAGGAGACAAGGATAGAAACTAAAATTCTGTGAATATACCTTATTTTATGTATATTTTACATAATTTTAAAACAAAATTAAGAATTTAAAAATCAATTCCCAGAAATCAAAAACAAAATGAAAACAAATACCAAATTGATGGCATAACTATTCTAAGAGAAATTATTCCAAATAACTTTAAACATAATAAATTGAACATCCTTAGTAGGATATACCCTAAAAACAAAAAGAATTGAAAAAGATCCTAAACTGCTTTTTAGCTACCATATTGTTGATTGTAGTGTTGATGTTATCACTCTGAGACTGTTGTGTATTGTGAGATAAAACAATTAATTATGTGAACTTTTTCTGTCACTCTCAATGTGTCTGAGAACTGGAATTCTCAGCAGGGGTGCAAGGAGATACAGTTGTAAAATAGAAGTTAAGTAAAAACCAGTGCAATCCTGAATATGAATTGGAAGTATCAACAAGAATATACGACATATTTTTATCTGTAAATATTTTTTAATTTATAAATTTATATGTTCTGGCTCTGTCCACTCAAAAGCCCTAGAAAAAAAATGGTCAGCCACTAGCAATGAGTACCATTAGCATCTAGATTGTGGTCTCTTACAGTGCCATTTTCTACCAAAAGGCACTCAAAGACAACTAGGGTTGTGTCACATGGACTCAGTAGACAACTTAAAGAGGTCCCTTGCCAAAACTAGGACAATATGCCCGGCCGTGTGTCTCCGTGATTGAGCATCAATCTATGAACCAGGGGTCACGGTTTGATTCCCAGTCAGGGCAAATGCCTGGATTTCGGGTTTGATCCCCAGGCAGCCAATCAATGATTCTTTCTCATCATTGATGTTTCTATCTCTCTCCCTCTCCCTCTCTGAAATCAGTAAAAATATATTTTTATAAAAGAGGACAATTTGAACCAATAAGGGTAATAACTGCAACAAACTGAATATATCAAATACATATATTAAAACCCACAAGTTCACAATGTCACTTTAAAAATTAACTAATTGGCCCTAGCCAGTTTGGCTCAGTGGATAGATCATCAGCCTGCAGATTGAAGGGTCGCAAGTCTGATTCTGGTCAAGGGCACATACCTCAATTGCAGGCTCAATCCTTGGCCCTGGTTGGGGTGTGTGTGGGAAGCAACTATTCAATGAGTCTCTCTCACATTTATGTTTCTCTCCCCCTCCCTTCCACTCTCTCTAAAAATGAATGGAAAAATATCCTTGGGTGAAGATTAACAACAAAAAATTGACTAATTGGTTAACATTGGAAGATATGCTAATAAGTTAACTGGTTGCTTTGAAAGCTGGTAAAAATTAATCCGTTTCCCTATATAAATTGTACCATAGAATAGATGAGAGAAGTTTCTTATTATTAAAAAAATAAATGGAAAAGGAGTATTAGAATTAGAAGATTGCCATTTTGCAGTACAAATGGATTGCATTGATTTTCAACAGCCACCAACATCACAGAAACAGCCAGACATTATATGTCTCTTAATGGGAGACCTTATCACCGTCCATGAGGCAATCTTACCAAATAAATTGTCCCTGAATCTGATCAAGCCTCTAAATCCAAATACCAATTTACTGAAAATACAGTGAATCAGAG